GTATACCAGGCGAGGTAGTTAACATCTCACTACGGAGAGAGAGACACGCAAACTCCAAATATACAGCAGCAGGCGTCAGGGTCGGGATCGAACCCACGACTTCCTGTATACCAGGCGAGGTAGTTAACATCTCACCACGGAGAGAGAGAGACACGCAAACTCCAAATATACAGCAGCAGCAGGCGTCAGGGTCGGGATCGAACCCACGACTTCCTGTATACCAGGCGAGGTAGTTAACATCTCACCACGGAGAGAGAGACACGCAAACTCCAAATATACAGCAGCAGGCGCCAGGGTCGGGATTGAACCCACGACTTCCTGTATACCAGGTGAGGTAGTCAGCATCTCACCACGGAGATACGAGGGCTTCCAGGCATATTTATGACTATTTGCCCTCTCATTGTGTGCAATAACAGCCTGTGTGATGAATTTGGGAAACTTTTTCACGACATCATGAATATATGAATAAGTATAGACGTGTAAGTCACGTGTGACTGTGTATATGCATTACTCTGTGTCTGACGTGTAGGTGGTGTGGATATAATTTTTTTCTGTCTGCAGCTGACGCTTGGTCTGATGGAGCAAAGGCGCTCAGCACAGCTCGGTACGACAAGTCAACAATGCGACCGGCGTGGATACAGCACGGAGCGGACTGGAAATTTGACACAGCACCAGAGAACTCACGCAGGAGAGAAATCCTTCAAGTGCACTGTGTGTGGGAAGGCCTTTGCATGGCCATCAGTTCTTCAGATCCACCAGAGAACACACACAGGAGAGAAACCCTTCAAGTGCACTGTGTGTGGGAAGGCATTTGCACAGTCATCTGCTCTTGTAACACACCAGAGAACACACACGGGAGAGAAACCCTTCAAGTGCAGTGTGTGTGGGAAGGCGTTTGCACTTTCATCTACTCTTGTAACACACCAGAGAACACACACGGGAGAGAAACCCTTCAAGTGCAGTGTGTGTGGGAAGACGTTTTCAGATTCATCTACTCTTGTAGCACACAAGAGAACACACACGGGAGAGAAACCCTTCAAGTGCAGTGTCTGTGGGAAGGCGTTTGCACATTCATCTACTCTTGTAGAACACCAGAGAACACACACGGGAGAGAAACCCTTCAAGTGCACTCCGTGCGGGAAGGCGTTTGCACAGTCATCAAATTTTCAAAAACACCAGAGAACACACAAGCATCAGAAGATCCACCAGGAGTGGAGTCTGAAATCATCTTGTGAAAGTGAAAGTGCTGCAATGAGCCCATCCCTAATCAAACAAGAACCAGAAGAAAATCCCAGCTTGGACACTTTTAAAGGTAACGAGGTGAAATATGAAGAGGTGAAGGTGAAATGTGAAGAAGTGATGGTGAAGAGCGAAGAAGTGAAAGTAAAATGTGAAGATGAAGGTTCAACTCCAAAATGGGACCTTTGCATCGATGGAGGCAACGTGAAGCAGGAGGAGAATTCTGACTGTGAGGCAGAGCGAGGGAACTCCCAGCAGTTTGTGGAAGTGGAGGTGTGGGTGGACTTCCGAGACAATACAAAGTCAAATGGGGACCCGGTAGATGTGTAAGCTTGAGGCGATGTCGCTCCAATAGATGCACCCTTGTCACAGGCCTTTAATGACAATAATGTGAAGTTGAACACCCATTTCCTGGGTTCAACCTGCAGGGTAAGGGCGGCCAGTCTTTGTGGACCTGTGTGTTGGGTAGATCTCTGAGAGCCAATAAGCTCCCAAGCATTCACGATGTTATAATTGCTTTTACATGGTGCTGACTTAATCCGCTCAGCAACCCGGAGTTTTGTATCGTACCTCGTCTCAAACACTAGAAGAGCACCCCAAGTGGCAGCTGCCCCTGTGTGGCACAAGGTGGTGGCCCTGCACCGGCCTGAATATTTTCAAGAGCCTGTCAGTAGGGGGCGATGATTGATCTGTTATCTCAGCTGTGTCGTTAGTAGGTAATGTTTAGAATTTGCTACATTTTTGACCCAGACGCCAACTTGCAAAGGCCTACTCGTTTTGAATTGCACAATTGTGTGTTTCACATCCACTGTTCAGTAGAGGGTGCATTCTTTAAATAGCTCCTTGTTAATAAGATGTTATCTAAACTAAATTGTTCAATTTTGGAAGAACGTAATCAACCAGGTAGGGTGTTGACTGTTGTGTTGGCTGACTCTTGTGTTGTGTTGCATTATATTTCTAAGTTCACTATGTTTGTGTTCTCATTCACTTGTTGTACCTGACGATGGTTGCTTGTGTTCCAATCGAAACGTCGTATTCTATTAAATTTCGTTCTACGTGACTACTGAAAGAACCAGAGAATAAGATGTTATCTGATGCAGTATATTTCACTGCAGTAATTCCATTTTGTGCATATGCCTGTCAATAATTTTGAATGAATACTTGTCTGATTGTGTGCGTACATGTAACACACACTGTACGTACACAATGCACACACACTGTGTGCATACACAGTGTACACACACATAGTGTGTACGCCTAGTCTCACATGGTGTTGGACCAGATGATGCCAAAAGGACGTTATTAACCAAGCAAAGTCGTAACTTGCTGTGGTGTATCCATTATTCCCTTTGTTGCCTTGGCCGTGTGTTTTGGGTCATTGTCATTCTGGAATACCCATCCACGACCCATTTTCAATGCCCTGGCTGAGGGAAGGAGGTTCTCACCCAAGATTTGACGGTACATGGCCCCGTCCATCGTCCCTTTGATGCGGTGAAGTTGTCCTGTCCCCTTAGCAGAAAAACACCCCCAAAGCATAATGTTTCCACCTCCATGTTTGACGGTGGGGATGGTGTTCTTGGGGTCATAGGCAACATTCCTCCAAACACAGCGAGTTGAGTTGATGCCAAAGAGCTCCATTTTGGTCTCATCTGACCACAACACTTTCACCCAGTTGTCCTCTGAATCATTCAGATGTTCATTGGCAAACTTCAATCGGGCATGTATATGTGCTTTCTTGAGCAGGGGGACCTTGCGGGCGCTGCAGGATTTCAGTCCTTCACGGCGTAGTGTGTCGCCAACTGTTTTCTTGGTGACTATGGTCCCAGCTGCCTTGAGATCATTGACAAGATCCTCCCGTGTAGTTCTGGGCTGATTCTTTACCGTTCTCATGATCATTGCAACTCCACGAGGTGAGATCTTGCATGGAGCCCCAGGCCGAGGGAGATTGACATTTCTTTTGTGTTTCTTCCATTAGCGAAGATCTGTCAGTGGCATTGCCCCAGAAAACAGTCAACAAAACTGTGTCTCCGTCTCTGTATTTCTTCGTGTCGCCTGGTTGGCGTAGGGGCTGGGGCGGGGACACCAGCGTACGCTCGCATTACAATTACTTCACGTAGCGGCACTGTTCATGAACATCAGCGGGTCAATGTTGCGATGGACCTCAGTTTTGCACAGGACACTATTTTGCTTTGATAGAGCATTTTAATGACCTGTGATACCTTGATAATGCCTGTGGTCATGAAAGTCCGTTTTGTACTGATAATTTGCTTTGCAGAGTTGAATACTGTCGCCACAATGATGTTAGCTGTGGCCTGGATTCGAACTCGGGCCGCCAGGTTCATAGCGAAGTGTCGCAAACGAATGATCCTCAGTCGTGATTTATTGTAAGGCGGAGTTGTGCACCATCTGATCAGCGTGTAATGCATTGGACAATGCAATCAGTGTAAATTCTGATATTGATGAGACCATATACAATGAGTGTCTGTACAAGAATGTGAAAGTCACAATCAATATCAATCAAATATTTGCAAACTGTCATTTTGTACTTTATTGCATAATTTGTAAACATGAACATTTTTAACGTAATTATGCATTATTTGCAATAGTTACCACCCCTTGCATGGTTAATGCAAAATGTGCATTTGTGTGCAGTTACCAATATAAACTGCGCAATGCAGGATATGCGACACGATGCAGCGAAGTAGTGTACATGATATACATAAACAATTATAAGTAGAAGACATTATTTCCAACATTCTGAATATTCTTTACGTGCAATCATGTACAATGTGTCCCGTCGTGGCGCACAATAAGCACGCATCTGCATTAGTAAATGCGTTGCACGCGTAACATTACCGCTAAACCAGCAACACGAGACATCCACGCGTCCCCTGCCACCGCCCTCCGCCGCCGTCTTGCAGGTCGGGCAGCAAAAACATAACACTTCTGAGAATTTGCAACAACACCAACACCATCAACACCACGAGAAATGTGCCTGTGAGCACCTGGAGACCACGTGGAGAAGACTCCAGGCCACGCGTTGACAACGATGTTGAACAAGTGGAGAATCGTTGACTTTGTCAAGCTACTAGCTGTACTACCCGGCTTCGCCCGAGACTTGGATCCACCATGCCCGGCCGCCTTTGTCTCCCCAGTGGCGACGTTCACACACTGCACCAGTTACTCGTTTGAGGCTGAGTCGACCTAGCGGAGGCCCAGGACCGGTTCAAATAATCGTCACCGGCGGTGGCCGTGAGCGGGAATCGAACTCGGGTCGCTGGGTTCGTAGCGCGGCGTAGCGCTAATCGCTGCGCCACGATGCGTGACGCTTCCACACGCGTGGGTCACGTGACAGATGTGAAGTACGCGGCCGGAGGAGGAGGGTGGACGTCCTCCCTGGCGACGATCGCCGAGGGTGGCGGCGGCGGCAGAGTGCGTCTGTCGCGGCAGCGGCACCGCGGGTGAGCCACCGAGTCGGGTGAGCCACCGAGTCGGGTGAGCGACCGAGTCGGGTGAGCCACCGAGTCGGGTGAGCGACCGAGTCGGGTGAGCCACCGAGTCGGGTGAGCCACCGAGTCGGGTGAGCCACCGAGTCGGGTGAGCGACCGAGTCGGGTGAGCCACCGAGTCGGGTGAGCGACCGAGTCGGGTGAGCCACCGAGTCGGGTGAGCCACCGAGTCGGGTGAGCCACCGAGTCGGGTGAGCGACCGAGTCGGGTGAGCGACCGAGTCGGGTGAGCGACCGAGTCGGGTGAGCGACCGAGTCGGGGCACCGCGGGTGAGCGACCGAGGTGGGTGAGCGACCGAGTCGGGGCACCGCGGGTGAGCGACCGAGGTGGGTGAGTGACCGAGTCGGGTGAGCGACCGCGCACGGGATCCGGGTCGGGCTGCGGCCACAGCCGCCACCACCGGCAACGTCGACGTCGCTCTCATCGGCTCACTTGTTTTCCCTCAACGTCAGCGTACCTGCACGTTGGGAGAGTAGCACGTGTAGTTGTGTGTGCAGTGTGTGTAGTGTACGTAGCGTGCGTGTGGTGTGTGTGTAGTGTGTGTAGCGTGTGTGTGTGTGTGGTGTGTGTGTAGTGTATGTAGCGTGTGTATGTGTGTGGTGTGTGTGTAGTGTATGTAGCGTGTGTGTGGTGTGTGTGTAGTGTATGTAGCCTATTAAAACTCCCCTCCCGTGACATCACAACATAATACAGATGGTCATCTATTCTTAGGTGTTTTCGGTAAAGTCACGTAGGCAAAACATCAAAATTAATGAAAAATAATAAAATAAAATAAAGATCTTTATTTTATTTTATTATTTTTATTTAAAAAAAATCTTTATTTTATATTATAATTTATAAAAATAATAAAATAAAGATCTTTATTTTATTTTATTATTTTTATTAATTTTGATGTTTTGCCTACGTGACTTTACCGAAAACACCTAAGAATATGATTCCTTGCAGTCACGAAAGCTTCAAGTTTAGATGGTCATCAATCAGCTTAACTCAGATAATCTGTGTGTCTGTGTGTGTGTGTCTGTGTGTGTGTGTGTCTGTGTGTGTGTCTGTGTGTGTCTGTGTGTGTGTGTCTGTGTGTGTGTCTGTGTGTATGTGTGTGTCTGTGTGTACACTGTGTGTGTGTGTGTCTGTGTGTGTGTCTGTGTGTGTGTCTGTGTGTGTGTGTCTGTGTGTGTGTCTGTGTGTGTGTGTCTGTGTGTGTGTGTGTCTGTGTGTGTGTGTCTGTGTGTGTGTGTCTGTGTGTGTGTGTCTGTGTGTGTGTCTGTGTGTGTGTGTGTCTGTGTGTGTGTCTGTGTGTGTGTGTCTGTGTGTGTCTGTGTGTGTGTGTCTGTGTGTGTATCTGTGTGTGTCTGTGTGTGTGTCTGTGTGTGTGTGTGTATGTGTGTCTGTGTGTGTGTCTGTCTGTGTGTGTGTGTATCTGTGTGTGTGTGTGTCTGTGTGTGTGTCTGTGTGTATGTGGGTGTATGTGTGTGTCTGTGTGTGTCTGTGTGTGTGTGTTTGTGTGTGTATCTGTGTGTGTGTCTGTGTGTGTCTGTGTGTGTGTCTGTGTGTGTGTCTGTGTGTGTGTGTCTGTGTGTATGTGTGTCTGTGTGTGTGTCTGTCTGTGTGTGTGTGTATCTGTGTGTGTGTGTCTGTGTGTGTGTCTGTGTGTATGTGGGTGTATGTGTGTGTCTGTGTGTGTGTTTGTGTGTGTATCTGTGTGTGTGTCTGTGTGTATGTGGGTGTATGTGTGTGTCTGTGTGTGTCTGTGTGTGTGTGTTTGTGTGTGTATCTGTGTGTGTGTCTGTGTGTGTCTGTGTGTGTGTCTGTGTGTGTGTCTGTGTGTGTCTGTGTGTATGTGTGTCTGTGTGTGTGTCTGTGTGTGTGTGTCTGTGTGTGTCTGTGAGTAGTTAACACCACTACACAGATATAATGGGAGGCTGATCGACGCCCGGGTGCGATCAAGGGATGGCTCCCTATTGGTCAACCACGTTATGTATGCCGATGATTTGGTAATAGCTGCTCATTCAGAAGAGGAGTTGGAGGCGCTGCTGCTGAGACTGGAGCGTGCCACTAAGAGGTGGGGCCTTACCATCAGCCCCACCAAAACCAAGCACCTGCCTGGGTATTTTGTACCATCGGACACTCCACCCCCACAACTCCCAATTGGTGATGGGGCAGTTGTGGAGAGAGTAGAGAGTTTCCCATACCTGGGCAGTATGCTTATGACCGGCTCCAGTCTATCAGCAGAGGTCTCACTCCGAATCAGTCGAGCGGCAATATCTTTTCATCGGTTGCGTAACGCTGTGTGGAAGCTACCTGGTCTGTCGCTCCGCACGAAGCTTCAGGTCTTCTCGGCCACGGTCATTCCCTCCCTTCTCTACGCTTGCGAGACGTGGACCCCCCTGGTGGAGCATCTTCGCCGGTTGGAAACATTTAGGCTGGCCTGCCTACGATCCATCCTGGGTTTAACCAGGCTGGATTGTGTGAGGAGCTCACAAATCCTTGAAAGATCTGGGCAAAGTCCCATCAGTGAGCTCCTCCGGCAGGCAAGGCTGCGTTGGCTGGGTCATGTAGCCCGCATGCCCAGCCACCGCATGCCTAAACAGCTTTTGTTCGGCCGGATCGAGGGGGCTAGACGGGCGCGGCACGGGCTGGAGAAGAGATGGAGTGATGTGGTACAGGAGGACGTGGAGCTGAGTGGACTTGCCGATGACTGGTACCAGCGGTGTCAAGATCGGCCTCAGTGGAGGAGGCTCGTGAAGGACGCTACTGGGCAGTTGGAGGCAGTCGCCCTCCAACAACAACGGAGGGCGGAGGAGCGACGCTCACAACAACGAGCGGAGCGCCGGGTGGCTAAAGCACAGCAAGTTGGCACAGTAGGGGGCACAGGTGGTGCATCAGCCAGTCATCTCGGTCATCTCGGTCAGTCGACCAGTGGCACCTGGGTCTGCCCCGTGACCTCCTGCCAGCGGGCTTTCGACACTTCACGTGGCCTCAAGGTGCACTTGGCCTGGCACAAGCATCGTGGTGACGTCACCGCCACTTAGTGGCGAATGGCGGTTGTTGTTGTTGTTGTCACTGTGTGTGTCTTACTGTCTGTGTGTGTGTCTCTGTGTGTGTGTGTGTGTCTGTGTGTGTGTGTGTCTGTGTGTGTCACTGTGTGTGTGTGTCTGTGTGTCACTGTGTGTGTCACTGTGTGTCACTGTGTGTGTCACTGTGTGTGTCACTGTGTGTGTGTGTCACTGTGTGTCACTGTGTGTGCATCACTGTGTGTGTGTGTCACTGTGTGTGTGTCACTGTGTGTGTCACTGTGTGTGTGTGTCACTGTGTGTCACTGTGTGTGCATCACTGTGTGTGTGTGTCACTGTGTGTGTCACTGTGTGTGTCACTGTGTGTGTTACCCGCCACATGTTTCCCCAGAACTGCGTCACGGCGCTGGCTGCGTGTCGAGCGAGTCTCCGCAGCGCCGCACCGCGCCGCGACTCCTCGCGCAGCCTCCTGGCCGCCTCGCGCTGCACGTGGCGAGACACCGACACGCACAGCTGCGTGGGGGGAGACACGGGGAGATGCGGGGAGACACGCGGAGGTGAGAGAGACGCGGGGAGACACGGGGAGGTGAGGGAGACACGGGGAGACACGGGGAGACACGGGGGAGACACCGACACGCACAGCTGCGTGGGGAGAGACACGGGGAGGTGAGAGAGACACGGGGGAGACACCGACACGCACAGCTGCGTGGGGAGAGACACGGGGACGTGTGTGGTGGTTGTGTGTTGTGTTTGTTGTTGTGGTTGTTGTTGTGGTTGTTGTTGTTGTTGTTGTGGTTGTGTTTGTTGTTGTGTTTGTGGCCGCACCGTCTTGGCCGCAGCGATCTTCCATCGTCGCTCCTGGGCAAAGTCCTCAGCCATCCACTCCATCTCCTACACACAGACACACAGACACACACAGTGACACACACACAGTGACACACACAGTGACACACACACAGTGACACACACACACAGTGACACACACACACAGTGACACACACACAGTGACACACACACAGTGACACACACAGTGACACACACACACAGACACACAGTGACACACACAGTGACACACACAGTGACACACACAGTGACACACACACACACAGTGACACACACAGTGACACACAGTGACACACAGACACACACACAGATACACACACAGTGACACACAGATACACACACAGACACACAGATACACACACAGACACACACACACAAACACCCACAGACACACACACACAAACACACACACCCACAGACACACACACACACCCCCACACACACAGACACACACACACACACCCACACACACACACCCACAGACACACACACACACACAGTGACACACGTACACACACTCACACACGTACACACACACACGTACACACAGACACACACACAGTGACACACACACACAGTGACACACACACACAGACACACAACAACCGCCATTCGCCATTAAGTGGCGGTGACGTCACCACAACGCTTGTGCCAGGTCAAGTGCACCTGAGGCACACAGAGACACACACACAGACACACCCACACACAGACACACGTACACACACACAGACACACACACAGTGACACACACAGACACACAGACACACACACACACACGTACACACAGTGACACACACACAGACACACACACGTACACACAGTGACACACACACGTACACACACACTGACACACACACACACGTACACACAGTGACACACACACAGTGACACACACACAGTGACAGACGTACACACACGTACACACAGTGACACACACACACAGTGACACACACGACACACACATACACACACACACACACACAGTGACACACACACACAGTGACACACACACAGTGACACACACGTACACACACACACGTACACACACACACGTACACACAGTGACACACACACACACTCACCTGCAGCAGGCAGTCCCAGTGTGCGCGTGGACGTGGAGGGTCGGCCACGCGCACACACACAGTGACACGTACACACACACACACACACGTACACACACAGTGACACGTACACACACACACACGTACACACAGTGACACACACACACACACACACTCACCTGCAGCAGGCAGTCCCAGTGTGCGCGTGGACGTGGAGGCTCGGCCACACGCACACACACAGTGACACGTACACACACACACACACGTACACACACACACGTACACACAGTGACACACACACACACTCACCTGCAGCAGGCAGTCCCAGTGTGCGCGTGGACGTGGAGGGTCGGCCACACGCACACACACAGTGACACGTACACACACACACACACGTACACACACAGTGACACGTACACACACAGTGACACGTACACACACACGTACACACACACACGTACACACAGTGACACACACACACACTCACCTGCAGCAGGCAGTCCCAGTGTGCGCGTGGACGTGGAGGGTCGGCCACACGCACACACACAGTGACACGTACACACACACACACGTACACACACACACGTACACACAGTGACACACACACACACTCACCTGCAGCAGGCAGTCCCAGTGTGCGCGTGGACGTGGAGGGTCGGCCACACGCACACACACAGTGACACGTACACACACACACACGTACACACACACACGTACACACAGTGACACACACACACACTCACCTGCAGCAGGCAGTCCCAGTGTGCGCGTGGACGTGGAGGGTCGGCCACACGCACACACAGTGACACGTACACACACACACACGTACACACAGTGACACACACACACACTCACCTGCAGCAGGCAGTCCCAGTGTGCGCGTGGACGTGGAGGGTCGGCCACGCGGGGCAGACGCTGCGGTGCCCACAACCCGGCCTTGCGCAGGCTCCACACTCGCTCCATCACGCCCGCCTCCTACACACACACACAGTGACACACACAGTGACACACACACAGTGACACACACAGTGACACACAGACACACAGTGACACACACACACACACACAGTGACACACACACACACAGTGACACACACACACAGTGACACACACAGTGACACACACACACACAGTGACACACACAGTGACACACACACACAGTGACACACACAGTGACACACACAGTGACACACACAGTGACACACACACACAGTGACACACACACACAGTGACACACACACACAGTGACATACACACACAGTGACACACACACACAGTGACACACACACACACGCACCGCACGCACACACACACACACAGACTCACACCACACACACACATGCACACACAGACACGCACACACCACACACACACCACACATACCCTGCACACACACACACGCACAGACACACGCACACACGCGCGCACACACGCAGACACACGCAGACACACGCACACAAACCGCACACACACACACGCAGACACCTTAATAGACTGTAGGGTCAAGTGCTGTTAGTAACATTGAGTAGCACCACCTATGTACTCCCCCGTGTCTCCCCCGTGTCTCCCCCGTGTCTCTCCCCCGTGTCTCCCCCGTGTCTCCCCCGTGTCTCCCCCATGTCTCCCCCGTGTCTCCCCCGTGTCTCCCCGTGTCTCTCCGCGTCTCCCCGAGTATCCCCGTGTCTCCCCGGTCCCCGTGTCTCCCCATGTCTCCCCCGTGTCTCCCCGTGTCTCCCAGTGTCTCCCAGTGTCTCCCCACATCTCCCCGTGTCCCGTGTCTCCCCGCACCATCTGTGCCTGTCCTGCAGGGTCATCCTCCATCTTCACGTCTCCCCGGTGTCTCCCCCGTGTCCCCCCGTGTCTCTCCGTGTCCCCCCATCTCTCCCCGTCTCTCCCCGCGTCTCTCCGCGTCTCCCCGCGTCTCCCCGTGTCTCCGTGTCTCCCCACGTCTCCCCGTGTCCCCCCGTGTCTCTCCGTGTCCCCCCATCTCTCCCCGTCTCTCCCCGTCTCTCCCCGTGTCTCCCCGCGTCTCCCCGCGTCTCTCCGCACCATCTGTGCCTGTCTTGCAGGGTCATCCTCCATCTTCACGTCTCCCCCGTGTCTCCCCCGTGTCCCCCCGTGTCTCTCCGTGTCCCCCCATCTTTCCCCGTGTCTCCCCGCGTCTCCCCGTGTCTCCAAGTGTCTCCCAGTGTCTCTCCGTGTCTCCCCATCTCTCCCCGTCTCTCCCCGTGTCTCTGTGTCTCCCCGCGTCTCCCCGTGTCTCCCAGTGTCTCCCCACATCTCCCCGTATCTCCCCGTGTCTCCGTGTCTCCCCGCGTCTCTCCGTGTCTCCCCGCACCATCTGTGCCTGTCTTGCAGGGTCATCCTCCGTCTTCACTTCCTCATCCCCGGACAGCCGAGGAGGCGTTGTCACCGGCGTTGTCACCGTCACCGGCGTTGTCACCGGCGTTGTCACCGGCGTCGTCACCGGGGTTGTCAACGGGGTTGTCACCGTCAGCGGTCGTGGTGGTGCCGGTAGCAGCGGAGCCGTCAGCTGGGCAGCGTCAGCAGCAGCAGCAGCAGGAGCAGCAGCAGCAGGAGCAGCAGGAGCAGCAGCAGCAGCAGCAGCAGAGCAGCAGCAGCAGCAGGAGCAGCAGCAGCAGCAGCAGCAGCAGGAGCAGCAGCAGCAGCAGGCGCAGCAGCAGCAGCAGCAGCAGCAGGAGCAGCAGCAGCAGGAGCAGCAGGAGCAGCAGCAGCAGCAGGAGCAGCAGCAGGAGCAGCAGCAGGAGCAGCAGCAGCAGCAGCAGGAGCAGCAGGAGCAGCAGCAGCAGCAGGCAGCAGCAGCAGGAGCAGCAGCAGGAGCAGCAGCAGCAGGAGCAGCAGCAGCAGCAGCCAGCAGCATCAGCGGCAGCAGCAGCAGGAGCAGCACAGCAGCAGGCAGCAGCAGCATCAGCGGGCAGCAGCAGCAGGAGCAGCAGCAGCAGGAGCAGCATCAGCAGCAGGAGCAGCAGCATCAGCGGCAGCAGCAGAGGAGCAGCAGCAGCTGTAGCAGCAGCAGCTGTAGCAGCAGCAGGAGCAGCAGCAGCTGTAGCAGCAGCAGCTGTAGCAGCAGCAGGAGCAGCAGCAGCTGTAGCAGCAGCAGCTGTAGCAGCAGCAGGAGCAGCAGCAGCAGGAGCAGCAGCAGCAGGAGCAGCAGCAGCAGGAGCAGCAGCAGCAGGAGCAGCAGCAGCAGGAGCAGCAGCAGCTGTAGCAGCAGCAGCAGGAGCAGCAGCAGCAGGAGCAGCAGCAGCAGGAGCAGCAGCAGGAGCAGCAGCAGCAGGAGCAGCAGCAGCAGGAGCAGCAGCAGCTGTAGCAGCAGCAGCTGTAGCAGCAGCAGGAGCAGCAGCAGCAGGAGCAGCAGCAGCAGGAGCAGCAGCAGCAGGAGCAGCAGCAGCAGGAGCAGCAGCAGCAGGAGCAGCAGCAGCTGTAGCAGCAGCGTGGAGGAGGAGGAGGAGCGCTCGGGACGCCACGGCCGCCGCTGCAGGAAGTGCGGGTGGGGGAGGTGGGGTCGGAGGTCGTGGGAGACGGGGGGGGCGGTAGTGGGGGAGGAGAGGGGGGGGTCATGGGTTATGGCATCGTAGTGATCATCGTCCTGACCACAGCCTTCATCACCATCATCACCATCACCACCGTCATCACCATCATCACCATCATCACCACCACCACCACCACCATCACCATCGTCACCATCATCACCACCACCATCACCATCATCACCATCATCACCATCATCACCATCATCACCACCACCACCACCACCATCACCATCGTCACCATCATCACCACCACCACCACCATCATCACCATCATCACCATCATCACCACCACCATCACCATCGTCACCGTCACCACCACCACCGTCACCACCACCGTCACCACCACCACCGTCACCACCACCACCGTCACCACCACCACCGTCACCACCACCACCACCGTCACCACCACCACCGTCACCACCACCACCGTCACCACCACCACCACCGTCACCACCGTCACCACCACCACCGTCACCACCACCACCACCGTCACCACCACTCACGTTGGCCGCTGCCACCACCAGCGGCAGGCGATGCGGTCGTCACGGCGACCGCCGACGCCGTTGCCATGGGAGACGGCAGCTGGGGCGACGCCGATGACGTCACCGACGACGACGCCATCGCCACTGCTGATGACAGCGACGCTGATGATGATGGTGGTGGTAGTGCTGATGGTGGTGGTGGTGCTGATGATGGTGGTGGTGGTGGTGCTGATGGTGGTGGTGCTGCTGATGATGGTGCTGGTAGTGTTGCTGATGATGGTGGTGCTGCTGATGCTGGTGGTGCTGATGATGCTGGTGCTGATGGTGGTGGTGCTGATGATGATGGTGGTGGTGCTGCTGCTGCTGATGCTGATGGTGGTGCTGATGATGCTGATGATGATGGTGGTGCTGATGATGCTGATGATGATGGTGGTGCTGCTGCTGCTGATGATGGTGGTGGTGCTGCTGCTGATGATGGTGGCGCTGATGATGGTGCTGATGAGGAGGGAGCAGTTGTGGGAGCGGTGCATGGGCAGATCCTCAGCACGGCACCCTCCTGCTACGGGGGAAGGGGGGGGGGGGCAGAGGTCACTCACCGATGACCCACACAGAGGTCACATCCGGCCATCACGGTTGGTTACGTACGGACCCAGAGACACCCAGAGACACCCAGAGACACCCATAGAGACACCCAGAGACACCCAGACCCATAGAGACCCATAGAGACCCACAGAGACACCCAGACCCATAGAGACCCATAGAGACCCATAGAGACCCATAGAGACCCACAGAGACACCCAGACCCATAGAGACCCACAGAAACACTCAGACCCATAGAGACCCACAGAGACACCCAGACCCATAGAGACCCACAGAGACACCCACAGAGACCCACAGAGACACCCAGACCCATAGAGACCCACAGAGACACCCACAGAGACCCACAAAGACACCCAGACCCATAGAGACCCATAGAGACACCCAGACCCATAGAGACACCCACAGAGACACCCAGACCCATAGAGACCCATAGAGACCCATAGAGACCCACAGAGACACCCAGACCCATAGAGACCCATAGAGACCCACAGAGACACCCAGACCCATAGAGACCCATAGAGACCCACAGAGACACCCAGACCCAGAGAGACCCACAGAGACACCCATCCCATAGAGACCCACAGAGTCCCACAGACCCATAGAGACCCACAGAGACACCCAGACCCATAGAGACCCATAGAGACACCCAGACCCATAGAGACACATAGAGACCCATAGAGACACCCACAGACACCCAGACCCACAGAGACCCACAGACCCAGAGACCCATAGAGACCCATAGAGACACCCACAGACACCCAGACCCACAGAGACCCACAGACCCATAGAGACCTACAGAGACACCCACAGAGACCCACAGAGACACCCAGACCCATAGAGACCCACAGAGACCCATAGAGACACCCAGACCCATAGAGACCCACAGAGACACCCAGACCCACAGACCCATAGAGACCCACAGAGACACCCAGACCCAGAGACCCATACAGACAACCAGACCCATAGAGACCCATAGAGACACCCAGACCCATAGAGACCCATAGAGACACCCAGACCCATAGAGACCCATAGAGACACCCAGACCCATAGAGACCCATAGAGAAACCCAGACCCATAGAGACCCACAGAGACACCCAGACCCATAGAGCCCATAGAGACCCAGACCCATAGAGACCCATAGAGACACCCAGATCCAGAGATCCACAGACACCCAGATAGCCACAGAAACCCACAGACCCACAGAGACCCACAAAAACCCAGACCCACAGAAACCCACAAGACACCCAGACCCACAGAAACCCACAGACACCCAGACCCACACAGACACCCGGACCCACACAGACACCCAGACCCACAGAGACCCACAGACACCCAGACCCACAGAGACCCACAGACACCCAGACCCATAGAGACCCACAGACACCCAGATCCACAGAGACCCACAGACACCCAGACCCACAGAAACCACTCACTCACCACTCACTCACCCTCACCACTCACTCACTCACCACTCACTCACTCACTCACCACTCACTCACCACTCACTCACCACTCACTCACCACTCACTCACTCACCACTCACCACTCACCACCTTCACCTGTCGGGGGAGGTCACCACTCACTCACCACTCACTCACCACTCACTCACTCACCACTCACTGACTCACCACTCACCACCTTCAACTGTTGGGGGAGGTCACCACTCACTCACCACTCACTCACCACTCACTCACTCACCACTCACTCACCACTCACTCACCCACCACTCACCACCTTCACCTGTTGGGGGAGGTCACCACTCACTCACCACTTACTCACTCACCACTCACTCACTCACCACTCACTCACCACTCACCAACCACTCACCACCTTCACCTGTCGGGGGAGGTCACCACTCACTCACCACTCACTCACTCACTCACCACTCACCCACCACTCACTCACCACTCACCCACCACTCACTCACCACTCACTCACCACTCACTCACTCACCACTCACCCACCACTCACTCACTACTCACCCACCACTCACTCACCACTCACTCACTCACTCACCACTCACTCACTCACCACTCACTCACTCACGACTCACCACCTTCACCTGTCGGGGGAAGTCACCACTCACTCACCACTCACTCACCACTCACCCACCACTCACTCACTCACCACTCACTCACCACTCACTCACCCACCACTCACTCACCACTCACTCACTCACTCACCACTCACTCACTCACCACTCACTCACTCACTCACGACTCACCACCTTCACCTGTCGGGGGAAGTCACCACTCACTCACCACTCACTCACCACTCACCCACCACTCACTCACTCACCACTCACTCACCACTCACTCACCCACCACTCACTCACCACTCACTCACTCACCACTCACTCACCACTCACTCACCACTCACTCACCACTCACTCACCACTCACTCACCCACCACTCACCACTCACCCACCACTCACTCACTCACTACTCACCCACCACTCACTCACTCACCACTCACTCACCACTCACTCACTCACCACTCACGACTCACCCACCACTCACTCACCACTCACTCACTCACTCACCACTCACTCACTCACCACTCACTCACCACTCACTCACCACTCACTCACTCACGACTCACCACCTTCACCTGTCGGGGGAGGTCACCACTCACTCACCACTCACTCACTCACCACTCACTCACTCACTCACCCACTCACCACTCTCCCACAACTCACTCACTCACCACTCACTCACCACTCACCACTCACTCACCCACCACTCACCACCTTCACCTGTCGGGGGAGGTCACCACTCACTCACTCACTCACCACTCACTCACTCACTCACCACTCACTCACCCTCACCACTCACTCACCACTCACTCACTCACTCACCCACTCACTCTCCCACAACTCACTCACTCACCACTCACTCACCCTCACCACTCACTCCCCCCCAGAGGTCGCAACCGGGTACCCGATACCCGTACCCTACCCGATACCCGTACCCTACCCGATACCCGTACCCTACCTGATACCCGTACCCTACCCGATACCCGGCTATCCGTACCCGGCCGGGTACGGGTACCTGTTTGCGACCCTGGTGCGGCCGGGTACGGGTAAGGAATCAAAACCCGTTTGCGACCTCTGCCTCCCCCCTCACACACCATCACCACTCACCCACCCCCCCACTCACCCTCACCACTCACCCCCCCCTCACCACTCACCCACCCCACTCACCCTCACTCACCCCCCACTCACCCTCACAACACTCACCCATCTCCCCCCCTCACCACCACTCGCTCACCGCTCTCACCCACCCCCCCATCACCACCCACCCCCCCACTCACCTTCACCACTCGCTCACCGCTAGCTCACCACACTCACCCATCCCCCCACCACCGCTCACCCCCCACTCACCTTCACCACACTCACCCCCCCTCCCCCCCTCCCTCACCGCTCTCACCTCGTCGTTAATCACGCGGCACCTCGACTCGTCCACCAGGACACCACCACCACCACCTCCACCCTGCTGCTGCTGCTGCTTCTCCACCACCACCACCACCGCACCACCACCACCACCACCACCGCCACCACCACCACCACCACCGCCACCACCGCCACCGCTCTCCAACTCGTTCTGCTGCAGCGTGGCGACGGCCGAGTGTCCGGGCCTCCGACAGAAGGCCGGGAAGTCCACCATGTTGCCGCCCCCCTTGAGGAAGAGCGCCTCCCGCAGCAGGCGGCGGTGTCGTCCTCCAAGTCCTTCTAGCTGCGCACGCCGCACCTCCGCCACGCTGCAGCGCAGACGCAGCTGCTGCAGCAGCAACAGGGCACCACCACCACCGCCACCACCACCACCACCGCCACCGCCACCACCACCACCACCACCACCGCCACCGCCGACATGCTGCGACAGCAGCTGCCCCCGAGTCAGGCTGCTGAGCTGCGGAGAGACGCCAGCGATACTAACGCCGCTGCCGGGGCGAGCGCTGCCAGCGCCGGGCCCCAAGTGGCGCACCGTCCCTCCGGGGAGAGCCGCGGGCAAACGGCGCTGACGCGGCGCTCCCGGCAAACTCCCGGTAGCGGCTAGCGACGCCCCACCGGGAGAAGCGCTTCCCGCGGTGATCCCAGCGGCGCTTCCGATGCTTTCGATGCTTCCGATGCTTCCCACGGCGCTTCCAGCGGCGCTTCCGATGCTTCCCGCGGTGATCCCAGCGGCGCTTCCGATGCTTTCGATGCTTCCCACGGCGCTTCCAGCGGCGCTTCCGATGCTTCCAGCGGCGCTGCCGAGAACCGGAGCCGGCGCTTCTTGCTGCAGCGTGACGGTGCTTGGCAATACAAACTGCTGCTGCTGCTGCTGCTGCTGCAGCAGCTGCAGCTGCTCCTGCTGCTGCTGTTGCTGCTGCTGAACGCCGGGGCTAACGCCGCTGGTGGTGGTGGTGGTGGCGATGGAAGGGGTCGGGTTGGTGGTGGCTGCTGCTGTTGATCGCGAAGCTGCCAACGTGGTGGTGGTGGCGGCCGTGGCGGCCGTGGTGGCGGATGACAGGACCCTCTGGAGGCTGACCGGAGCAGCGGAGAGCTGTGGGGGTACGGAGCACGCCTGTCATGGTTACTGTCGCCAGCGGCGGGATTGATCGCCGTAGCGGCCGCGACACTCTGTCATCATCGTCGTAGTCGTCGTCATCATCGTCATCGTCATTGTCGTCGTCGTCACCATCACCATTGTCATCATCAACACCATTATCATCACCATCATCATCACCATCATCATCGTCGTCATCACCATCACCATTGTCATCACCACCGCCATTGTCATCATCATCACCACCATCATCACCACCATCATCATCACCATCATCAGCATCATCACCATCATCAACACCATCGCCATTGTCATCATCGTCAACGTCATCATCACCGTCATCATCATCACCGTCATCATCATCACCGTCATCATCATCACCGTCATCATCATCACCGTCATCATCACCGTCATCATCATCACCATCAGCAGCAGCATTGATCACCAAGGTAAACAGATCACGCCGCTCAACTGATTCGGAGTAAGACCTCTGCTGTCAAACCGGAGCCGACTCTGGGTCCAACACACCATCAAGACAAAGATCCCCCGTGTAGCCTTAACAGACTGTAGGGGCAAGTGCTGCTAGCGAGCACCTATGAAGGCCGGCACGGCACACGAGGGGGTGGGTGGCCAGCACTACGCCCGGCCGCCTTTGTCTCCCCAGTGGCGATGTTTACACACCGCACCAGGTACTCATTTGAGGCCGAGTCGACCTAGGTGAGGCCCGGGACCAGTTCAGATAATCGTCACTGTTGGTGTTGGCCGTGAGCGGGAATCGAACCCGGGTCGCCGGGTTCATAGCGCAGCGTAGCGCTAACCACTACACCACCGCTCCCCAGTCATACACACACAGACACACACCTGTACACACACAGACACACACCTGTACACACACACACCTGTACACACACAGACACACACCTGTACACACACAGACACACACCTGTACACACACAGACACACACCTGTACACACAACACACCTGACACACACCTGTACACACACACACCTGTACACACACAGACACACACCTGTACACACACACACCTGTACACACAGACACACACCTGTACACACACAGACACACACCTGTACACACACAGACACACCTGTACACCACAGACACCACCTGTACCACACCTGTACACACACACACCTGTACACACACATACCTGTACACACAGACACACACCTGTACACACACACACCTGTACACACACACACCTGTACACACACAGACACACACCTATACACACACAGACACACACCTGTACACACACACACACCTGTACACACACACACACCTGTACACACACACACACCTGTACACACACAGACACACACCTGTACACACACAGACACACACCTGTACACACACAGACACACACCTGTACACACACACACACCTGTACACACACACACACACACACAGACACACACCTGTACACACACAGACACACACCTGTACACACACACACCTGTACACACACACACCTGTACACACACACACACCTGTACACACACACACACCTGTACACACACACACACCTGTACACAAACACACCTGTACACACACAGACACACACAGACACACACCTGTACACACACACACCTGTACACACACAGACACACACCTGTACACACACACACCTGTACACACACACACCTGTACACACACACACCTGTACACACACACACCTGTAAACACACACAGACACACACCTGTACACACACAGACACACACCTGTACACACACAGACACACACCTGTACACACACAGACACACACCTGTACACACACACACCTGTACACACACACACACACCTGTACACACACAGACACACACCTGTACACACACACACCTGTACACACACAGAGACACACCTGTACACACACACAGCTGTACACACACACACACACCTGTACACACACAGACACACACCTGTACACACACACCTGTACACACACACACACACCTGTACACACACAGACACACACCTGTACACACACACACCTGTACACACACAGAGACACACCTGTACACACACACAGCTGTACACACACAGACACACACCTGTACACACACACACCTGTACACACACAGACACACACCTGGACACACACACACCTGTACACACACAGACACACACCTGTACACACACACACAAACACACACCTGTACACACACAGACACACACCTGTACACACACAGACACACACCTGTACACACACAGACACACACCTGTACACACACAGACACACACCTGTACACACACAGACACACACCTGTACACACACACACACCTGTACACACACAGACACACACCTGTACACACACACACCTGTACACACACAGACACACACCTGTACACACACACACCTGTACACACACACACACCTGTACACACACAGACACACACCTGTACACACACACACACCTGTACACACGCACACACTCACGCACACGCGCACACACGCACTCTCAAACACTCACACACACTCACGCACACACACTCACGCACACGCACTCACACTCACGCACTCACACTCACGCACTCACACTCACGCACACTCACACACACTCACACACACACACTCACTCACGCACACACACAAACTCACGCACACTCACGCACACACACACACTCTCACACACACACTCACACACGTAACAGCCCTCCACGTAGCGCCAACGTCCGTGCGACGTTGCAGCCGTACCTGTATGAACGACGTGCAGGGCACCTGTTTGAACCTTTGGTGAACAGCGCACGGTGCGGAGACTTGCTGCTGCTGCTGCGGCTGTAAAAGAACTTGCTGCTGCTGCTGCTGCAACATAAACTGCTGCTGCTGCAGCAGCACCTGCTGTTGCATGAGCTGCTGCTGCTGCTGCTGCTGCTTGTGCTGTACCAACTGCTGCTGCGTGCCCTGTTGCGCCACCTGTTTCAATATCTTCTGCGGAAGCTGCTGCTGCCGCTGCTGCGCTACGTGTTGGAGTACCACCTTCTGCTGCTGCTAAGTCATTACCTGCTGCTGCTGCTGCAGGCTCTGCTTCAACACCGCATGCGGCGACAGCAGCTGCTGCTGTTGCTGCTGCTGCTGCATCAGTTTCTGAAGGGCGGGCTTGGCGAGCTGTTGCTGGAGACCCTGTTGTGGCCCCACAACATACTGCTGCACCGTGAAGCTGGTAGGTTGCTGTGGCCGTTGCTGCAGCAGTTGGGGCTGCTGCTGCGGCTGCTGCTGCTGCAATGGAGACTTGCGGGCTGTCTGCTGCTGCTGTATCTGCTGCTGCAGCTGTTGTTGCTGCAGCTGCTGTTGTTGTTGCTGCTGCTGTTGCAGCTGCTGTTGCAACAGCTGCGCGGGCTGCACGACCACCTGCTGCGGCTGCTGCTGCTGCTTCTGTTGTTGTGCCCCTGCTTGTGTTAGTTCCTTGCTCATGATGGCTTGCTGCTGCTGCTGTTTCACCAGCTGTTGTAGCTGCTGCTGCTGCCTAGCTTGCGGCTGCAGCAGTTGCTGTGGCTGCTGTATTTGCTTAACCTGCTGCAGCTGCTGCTGTTGCTTTGGCTGCTGTTGCAGCGGTGCCTGCTGCTGTATTTCCTTCCCCTGCTGCTGTTGAACTTGCTGCTGCTGCTGCTGTTGCTGCTGCAGCTGTGCCTGCAGCTGTATTTCCTTCACCTGCTGCTGCTTAACTTCCTGCTGTTGCTGCTGTGCCTGCTGTCCTACTTGCAGCTGCTGCTGTTGCTGCTTGACCTGCAGTTGCTGCTGTTGCTGCTGTTGCTCCTGTAACTGCTGCTGCTGCTGTTGCTCCTGTAACTGCTGCTGCTGCTGTTGCTCCTGTAACTGCTGCTGCTGCTGTTGCTCCTGTAACTGCTGCTGCTGTTGTTGTTGTTGTTCCACCGTTCTCTCCTCCTCCTCCACTTCCTCGTCCCCCTTCTCGTCTGCGGCCGGAGCAACGCTGTCACCCCCTCCTCCCGCGCTCATCGTAGCCCTGCACCTCAGAGTTCAAAGTTGCACGCGTTAGGTACGTAGCCCTGTGAGCCATTCGGCTCTTGAATCGGGTGCAACCGCAACAAACAAAAAACAAAGACTCAACACTACCCATAGACTCAACACTGCGCCATAGACTCAACACTACCCATAGACTCAACACTGCCCCATAGACTCAACACTGCCCATAGACTCAGCACTGCACCATAGACTCAGCACTGCACCATAGACTCAGCACTGCACCATAGACTCAACACTGCACCATAGACTCAACACTGCACCATAGACTCAACACTGCCCAGACTCAACACTGCCCAGACTCAACACTGCCCATATACTCAACACTGCCCATAGACTTAACACTACCCATAGACTCAACAATGCTGATAATACTAACAACACTACCCATAGACTCAGCAATACCGATAATACTAACAACACTGCACCATAGACTCAACACAGCATCAGACTCAACACTTACCACACTCAAAACACTGCACCACAAACAAACACCAGACTCACGCTGCCCGTAGGACACACGTCACCAAAGCGACCTTTAACAATTTAACTAAAACCGTTCAAGAACTAAAACCGTTCAAAAAGGAAATCCGTTCAAAAATAAAACTGTTAAGAAATAGAAAACTAAACTCGCCGCACACAACCGAGGCCTTGCCGCCGCAGGCTCCGCTAGGAAACTAGTCGAGGCCGCGCGAGGCCTAGCCTCTGCACCGTCGTTTAAAGCCGCTCACCTCTCAGTGGGTCTCGAGCCTCATTAAGCTCGCGTCTAATGCTGGTCCCGCACCTCCGCTTACGTGAAGAACGCGGCGAGGATTGGAATCATCTCTTTATTTAAAAATCCCAAAAAATTTCTCTCCGCCCGTTTAAAATCTTCGGCGGGCTCCAAGCTTGTGGACGGGTGAGCTGATCCTGGCGCTGATTGGTCGGCGGCGGGGCACGTGACGAGGATCCCCCGCGCGGATTGGCTGTGTATTCGTTAGTCTGCTTTAGCCGGCGGTGGTGAGAAGAGGCGTTTGTAAATCGTGGAGCGGATAAGGGACTCCCCCCCTCTCCCCCCCCCCACCCCCTCCCCCACTCTCCCTAATGCAAACTTTCATGTTATTGATATAATATTATTAAAGTAATTATTACGATTATAATTATGATAATTAAATGGTGTATATTATTACTATAGTAATATTATAGTAAGATGATTCTAATGATTATCATTTAATGTTATATATTAGTTAAATTCGATACCTTATCATAATGACCATATTACGTTATTAATATTATAATGATAATGATGATCATTTAATGCTATATGTTTGTTTCATTCATGCTAATATAACCCGACAACGCTGCCGACTAATTACACTATGTAACACAATTTTTGTTTGCTGGGTAAAAAGTGTTATTTATAAATTGCTTAAAGCCACAACAGAAAAGCAATATTTATCACCTGAAGATGGCCGCTTTTTTTGGGTCCGAAACGTCGTTTTTATTACCAAGATTTTATTTAACTCACTTCGTCTGTCTTCTTGGTTCTTTCGGTAAAGTCACGTAGAAGGGAAATAATAAAATAAGGAAAAAAAACATAATAAAATAAAATTTTATTATACAATACGTAGAAGGGAAATCATAAAATAAAAATAAAATATTATAAAATACGTAGAAGGGAAATAATAAAATAATAAAAATTTAATATTATAGAATACTATTTTATTATAAAATACGTTAGAAGGGAAATAATAAATAAAAAAAAATTAAATATTATAAAATACTATTTTATTATAAAATACGTAGAAGGGAAATAATAAAATAATAAAAATAAAACATCAGAAAATACAATTCTCACGACGTTTCGGCCACAACGCAAGCAGCCGTCCTCAGGTGAAGAACAGGTCTGTCGGAAAGACAGCGTCTGAAACTTCGTGAGAATTATTTTATGATGTTTTATTGTTTTATTATTTCCCTTAAAAATAAAACATAATAAAATAATATATTAAGATATTTTATTATTATATTATATTTTTACATTATATTATTTCATGATGTTTTATTTTTATTACTTTATTATTTCCCTTCTACGTAATGGCTTTACCGAAAGAACCAAGAAGATGAATCCCTGCAGTCACAAAAGCTTTAAATCAAAATTCCTCAAAAAAGACATCTTGTAGCTCAAATTTTACACACTTCCCAATATGATATCGACTGCAAACTTGGTATCGCTATCTCATACCGATGACCAGACTATATTCTATCATAAAAAAATTCAAAAACTTATATTTTAAAACTATCTACACGCTCCTTTTTAAATCCTTTATATTAAGTTCGCTTGCGTGCTTGCTTACGACCGTGCAAATCTTTCGCTCGTTTTTTAACCCACTTCCCGTGATCCAATCGAGCTGACATTTTCCACACAGACTCGTTGTGTGTGACAATTAATTTTCGTGAAAAATAATTTCCAAAATTTTACACTGTTTAGGGAAAACAAATTCAATATTTAATTACCAATTGCTTAATACTGGCAGACAATCATCTGACCCATAGGTGGCAGCCATCTCAAGCCAGAGGACGAGAGGACTCTAGCCGCCACGCATATAAAGGATTTAGAGTGAAAAACTTTGTTTTTACGGGTTTACTTGTTTAGGATCGACTGGAAGGCGGTTTACTTTGACGATGTCTGAATGAAGGATTCGTCTCGTTGGGCCAAAGCGTGCCACCGCGTGCGCTGCCTCCACGCTGTCGTTCTACGAAAACGCGGCAGTGGCATTCCTGACGAACAACGCGTTAGAGAAACATCGCGCGAGAAGAACTGATCTATGATACAGGGTAAAGGCAGAGTCCGCGATCACACGCGAGATGCGTCCGCAGGCTGGACAAAGACTGAGGGCGCGTGGGTAGCGGATCTAGAAGCATCCAGCAGCATCCCAACGCTTCGTGCGACGCTACGTGGTTCTGTTCACTCGATCTCGTTATATCCACTTTGCATCTGCGTTCTATCCAATTCGCATCCGCTTTATATGGATGTAAGTTCCCCAATACATGAATCTCGTTGTATTGAATTCCCGTCACGAAAACAACACGCGTTACAGCAGAACAGAGTGTAAGAACGTTCAACACAATTCTCACCCCCCTCCCTTAAAAAGACCACGTTACCCGAACCGTTGTCCCCAGTACGTCAGTAGAGCAGTCAGCCCACCCACCTGCCCCCCCCCCCCTCTCTCTCTTGCCCGGGCCTTTGTATTATCGTCCGTGGAACACCTGTACCCCCTCCCTCTCTCTCGCCCTCCCTCGTGCTCTGTGACGGGCTCTTGTTGAATTTTTATTTTTTATATAAAAACTATTCAAGACAATACCGATAACCAGATCTCGGTGGTTCAAATCAATTTCAGCTACGCTTTCAAAGACAGGTGACAAATTCCCAGACCGTTCGGATCGAACCCAGACAGCAAACCCCAGGGTGAGGTCAGTAGCAGACTGAGACCCATCTGCACTCGAAGAAACAATGTTTTGTTTTTTTTCGATTTAAAGCTTTCGTGACTGCAGGGATCCATCTTCTTGGTTCTTTCGGTAAAGTTACGTAGAAGGGAAGCAATAAAATAATAAAAATAAAACATAATAAAATACAAAAATATTATTTTATTTTATTATGTTTTATTTTTATTATTTTATTGCTTAAAATAATATTATTGTATTTTATTATGTATTATTTTATTGCTTAAAATAATACTATTCTATTTTATTATGTTTTATTTTTATTATTTTATTGCTTCCCTTCTACGTGACTTTACCGAAAGAACCAAAAAAATGTTGTTTTGGGCCAGGCTCAAAAAAGGCTCAAAAAGTACCAGTCGTCCATGCGACCAAGTGTCACATGAGGGCAATGGCAGTGACACAGAGAACCCGCGTGTGGGTGAGGAGCAGGGAGCGTGCCTGTGCCTGTAGGACGCACTCGCATTACTCGCGTCTAGTTCATCTACTTCATGACACAGAATCATAATTGTTTATTTACCCTTCTATCTGGCAACAACACTGACACCTTTTTACAAGGAGTCATGTTTGCATAGACCACAATACCTGCAGTCGTAATACAAACAAAACACACAACTCTGATCATGTTAATTGATAATTGCGCCTTTTGGCGTCATCTGGTCCAACCCATATGAGACTAGGCTCGAAGGAAAGCTGTCTCGGGTGTGGACCAATCAACTTCAAGGACAGTGCACATTATCAGAGTTATGTTCTTTTGTTTGTATTATGACTGCGGGTATTGCGGTCTATGCAAACATGACTCCTTGTAAAAAGGTGTCAGTTTTGTTGCCAGATAGAAGGGTAAAAAACCAATTATCATATGTGGTAGTCTGATCATGTTATGCACTTTCCTTGAAAACGTCACCGCACACCCCGTCAAGAGCTTACGTAGTGACGTCACCACGTATCAACTTGAGCTCTTAACGTCACCAAACACTCCCCCCGCATTTTCTTGGTTCTTTCGGTAAAGTCACGGAGAATGGAAATGAAAAAATAATAAATATAAAACATAATGTTATTATTTTATTATGTGATATTTGTATTTATTTATGGGATTAATAAAATAATATTTTAACATAATACAATTATGTTTTATTTTTGTTATTTTAATAATAAAATAATAACAAATTTACATAATACAATTATGTTTTTTTTTCCATTCTACGCGACTTTACCGAAAGAACCAAGACGATTAAGAAGATGAATCCCTGCAGTCACGAAAGTTTTAAATCGATATCCCCCCCCCCCGCATTCTCAAGAGATTCCGTAGTGACGTCACTTCATCACCCCGTCACCCCCCCCCCTCAAGCCAATGAGCGAGCCGCGTGACGTCACTTCATCACCCGTCACCCCCCCCCTCAAGCCAATGAGCGAGTCACGTGACGTCACTTCATCACCCCCCCCCCTCAAGCCAATGAGCGAGCCGCGTGACGTCACTTCATCACCCCGTCACCCCCCCCCCTCAAGCCAATGAGCGAGCCACGTGACGTCACTTCATCACCCGTCACCCCCCCCCCTCAAGCCAATGAGCGAGCCACGTGACGTCACTTCATCACCCCGTCACCCCCCCCCTCAAGCCAATGAGCGAGCCGCGTGACGTCACTTCATCACCCCGTCACCCCCCCCCTCAAGCCAATGAGCGAGTCACGTGACGTCACTTCATCACCCCGTCACCCCCCCCCCCTCAAGCCAATGAGCGAGCCGCGTGACGTCACTTCATCACCCCGTCACCCCCCCCCTCAAGCCAATGAGCGAGCCACGTGACGTCACTTCATCACCCGTCACCCCCCCCCTCAAGCCAATGAGCGAGTCACGTGACGTCACTTCATCTCCCGTCACCCCCCCCCTCAAGCCAATGAGCGAGCCGCGTGACGTCACTTCATCACCCGTCACCCCCCCCCTCAAGCCAATGAGCGAGCCACGTGACGTCACTTCATCACCCGTCACCCCCCCCCTCAAGCCAATGAGCGAGCCGCGTGACGTCACTTCATCACCCGTCACCCCCCCCCCCTCAAGCCAATGAGCGAGCCGCGTGACGTCACTTCATCACCCGTCACCCCCCCCCTCAAGCCAATGAGCGAGCCACGTGACGTCACTTCATCACCCGTCACCCCCCCCCTCAAGCCAATGAGCGAGCCGCGTGACGTCACTTCATCACCCGTCACCCCCCCCCCTCAAGCCAATGAGCGAGCCGCGTGACGTCACTTCATCACCCGTCACCCCCCCCCCTCAAGCCAATGAGCGAGCCGCGTGACGTCACTTCATCACCCGTCACCCCCCCCCTCAAGCCAATGAGCGAGTCACGTGACGTCACTTCATCACCCGTCACCCCCCCCCTCAAGCCAATGAGCGAGTCACGTGACAGCGATAAAGAGCGAGGCGGGGCGATGGGCGCACAGCGGGAGGGAGGAGAGTTGGATGGTGAAGAAGAAGATGACGACGATGAAGATGACGACGACGATGCTGATGACGGTGACGTTGATGACGATGATGATGGTGGTGGTGGTGGTGGCGTTGTTTATGTTGTTGCCTGGCGGCCTCTGCTTACTCGGTCTCGCCGCCTGTGCAGAGAACGGCGCAACGGGTCCAGCAGCAGCAGCAGCAGGAGGCGAGTGATGTTGGAGTCTAACCACTCACCACTCGCGCTCCCACTCACCCTGGTGGGGAGGGTGGGAGGGGCTGGGTTGGGAGGGTGGGGAGGGGCTGGGTGGGGAGGGTGGGGAGGGGCTGGGTGGGGAGGGTGGGGAGGGGCTGGGTGGGGAGGGTGGGAGGGGCTGGGTTGGGAGGGTGGGGAGGGGCTGGGTGGGGAGGGTGGGAGGGGCTGGGTTGGGAGGGTGGGGAGGGGCTGGGTGGGGAGGGTGGGAGGGGCTGGGTTGGGAGGGTGGGGAGGGGCTGGGTGGGGAGGGTGGGGAGGGGCTGGGTGGGGAGGGTGGGGAGGGGCTGGGTGGGGAGGGTGGGAGGGGCTGGGTTGGGAGGGTGGGGAGGGGCTGGGTGGGGAGGGTGGGAGGGGCTGGGTTGGGAGGGTGGGGAGGGGCTGGGTGGGGAGGGTGGGGAGGGGCTGGGTGGGGAGGGTGGGGCTGGGTGAGGGTGGGAGGGGTGGGGCTGGGTGGGGAGGGGCTGGTCACCCCGTGGTGCCCTTATAAAACTCAACGTTTCACCTACTCACGCCGGCTTGTGCCCGCCCTCACAGTCTGGCATATTTGCGGAATACACCACGTAACCGTTGACCCTGCAGGCCATTGACCGAGCAACCCGACGTTCCTACCAGCTCCCTCCGCAGGACAATGTGTTCCCTGGTGGGCAGTGTGGAGACTGTTGTTCCTACCTGTAATATTCCGATCGACTCGTGTGGGGGGGGGGGGGGTGGGGGGGGATTCATTGTAATTGTTACAGGACCAATGATTGTGGAGCGCTTTGTCCTGTTGCTTGTTAAGTTTGTGTGTGTAGCTACCCGGGGCACGCTTTCTTTACCCGACTGCTAGAGAGAGATGTGGATGTCAGGGCGGTGCACTACCCTGCCGCTGAATGTATTTGTGCTGTTCGTACTATTATTTCACAGCTAACTGGAAGGTTTTCATGATGATGGAATTTTGCTTGTAATTTCATTCATCTTTCAAGAAGCTTTTTTCACCACTTATTAACGTCCCTAAACAGAGGGTTGTTGTTGTTTTCACCACGCCTACGGTGGTTTAAATGTTTTTTTTTCACATCGTTGGAATTGTAAGGCTCCCGCTTTTGCTTTTTGTTAGGACCCAGCGCGGTCGTGGGAGTCCAATCTTCGTGCTAATTGAACGTTCACAGTCACTAATTGAAGGCGTCTCCTTAACAAAACAAGTTGAGCCCCCCCCCCCCCACACAACTGCAGCAAGAGTCATTGACTAACTTGTATTTTTCACCCCCTGGATTATTCTCATCGTTTTCATGTTGCAGTGGTTTCTGACTTTTCGCCCAATTACCACGACTCACGGTGACACCCCCCCTCCGCCCGTCACCTCCACAATCCCAACCCGACCCACAGCCCCCTCCGCACCCCCACAAAACATCGTGTGCGTGGCCCTCAGCTCCAGCAGCCTGCTGGTCAGCTGGGAGCCGCCACCCGCACACGACGGCGGCAGCAGCAGCAGCATCACGGGGTACACGGTCGCATACAGGGAGCTGCCCAGCCAAGGCGCAGACGCAGCAGACGACCAACAAGGGGACGAACTAGCTGACGAACTATGGGACGCACCAGCTGACGCACTATGGGACGTACTATCTGACGCACTAGCTGACGAACCAGCTGACGCACTAGCTGACGAACCAGCTGACGCACCAGCTGACGCACCAGCTGACGCACTATGGGACGTACTAGCTGACGAACCAGCTGACACACTAGCTGACGCACTAGCTGACGAACCAGCTGACGCACTTGCTGATGAACCAGCTGACACACTAGCTGACGCACTTGCTGACGAACCAGCTGACACACCAGCTGACGCACTAGGGGACGCACTAGCGGACGAACCAGCTGACAAACTAGCTGACGCACTATGGGACGCACTAGCTGACGCACTAGCTGACAAACCAGCTGACACACTAGCTGACGCACTCGTGGACACACTAGCTGACGCACTATGGGACGTACTAGCTGACGAACCAGCTGACGCACCAGCTGACGCACCAGCTGACGCACCAGCTGACGCACCAGCTGACGCACCAGCTGACGCACCAGCTGACGCACTATGGGACGTACTAGCTGACGCACTAGCCGACGCACCAGCCGACGAATCAGCTGACAAACCAGCTGACGCACCAGCTGACGCACTAGCTGACAAACCAGCTGACGCACTAGCTGACAAACCAGCTGACGAACCAGCTGACGCACCAGCTGACGCACTATGGGACGCACTAGCTGACGCACTAGCTGACGAACCAGCCGACGCACCAGCCGACGCACCAGCCGACGCACCAGCCGACGCACCAGCTCACGCACCAGCCGACGCACCAGGGGACGAAGCGAACGTCACGGGCGGGCGGCCGAGCGGGGGAAGGGGTGGCTGGTGCCGGACGCCGCGGCAGCCCGCGGACGTGAGGAGCGTGACGCTGAGCGGGCTGCTGCCCGAGGGGGCCCTGTACGAGGTGACGGTGCGGGCCCACACGGCGGTTGGCCCGGGGCTCTCGTCACTGCCCGTCCAGGCGCGCGCACACCACCACGGTACGTCAAGGGGGGGGGGGGGGGCGCCGCTGTGTTCCACGCCGTGGCCGTGCCGGCCGGACCGACACCCTGACGTGGCTCTTGAGTGTTTCCCCTCCTGGTGGTGGTGCCTCTGCAGCTACTGCTGACGGCTGTGTCTGGCCAGAGTCCTCCTCCTCCTCTCTCGGCTTTCTGCGCTGCGGCTCTCGCGCGCCAGTTCTCCGCGGCGCTGCTCCACGCCGCTGCGCTGAGCCGCTTTGCGGGTTCCGTTTGTGTGTCCATGTCTGTCTGTGTGGTTGTCTGTGTGTATGTGTGTCTGTGTGGTTGTCTGTGTCTGTGTGGTTGTCTGTGTCTGTCTGTGTGGTTGTCTGTGTGTATGTGTGTCTGTGTGGTTGTCTGTGTCTGTGTGGTTGTCTGTGTGTGTGTGTGTGGTTGTCTGTGTGTGTGTGTGGTTGTCTGTGTGTGTGTGTGGTTGTCTGTGTGTGTGTGGTTGTCTGTGTGTGTGTGTGGTTGTCTGTGTGTGTGTGTGTGTGGTTGTCTGTGGTGTGTGTGTGGTTGTCTGTGTGTGTGTGTGTGGTTGTCTGTGTGTGTGTGTGGTTGTCTGTGTGTGTGTGGTTGTCTGTGTGTGTGTGGTTGTCTGTGTGTGTGTGTGGTTGTCTGTGTGTGTGTGTGTGTGTGGTTGTCTGTGTGTGTGTGTGTGGTTGTCTGTGTGTGTGTGTGTGTGGTTGTCTGTGTGTGTGTGTGTGTGGTTGTCTGTGTGTGTGTGTGTGTGGTTGTCTGTGTGTGTGTGTGTGTGGTTGTCTGTGTGTGTGTGTGTGTGGTTGTCTGTGTGTGTGTGTGTGTGGTTGTCTGTGTGTGTGTGTGTGGTTGTCTGTGTGTGTGTGTGTGGTTGTCTGTGTGTGTGTGTGTGGTTGTCTGTGTGTGTGTGTGGTTGTCTGTGTGTGTGTGTGTGGTTGTCTGTGTGTGTGTGTGTGTGGTTGTCTGTGTGTGTGTGTGTGTGGTTGTCTGTGTGTGTGTGTGTGTGTGGTTGTCTGTGTGTGTGTGTGGTTGTCTGTGTGTGTGTGTGGGTGGTTGTCTGTGTGTGTGTGTGGTTGTCTGTGTGTGTGTGTGTGGTTGTCTGTGTGTGTGTGTGTGGTTGTCTGTGTGTGTGTGTGGTTGTCTGTGTGTGTGTGTGTGTGGTTGTGTGTGTGTGTGGTTGTCTGTGTGTGTGTAACGGGGAGTGGTGGTGTCGCGGTTTCCCCGCGTCTCCCCAATCCCGTAGCTGCCACCACGCTGCCCACCTCTCGTGGCTCCTCCCCACACTCGTCCGTGATGTCTACGGGAGACGAGCCGACGTTCCGCGCCAGCGGCATCAGCGCCTCCTCCATCGGCTTCCTGTGCGTGGTGGTGGTGATTGCGCTGCCTTCCGTGGTGGGGTGCCTCGTGTGGGGCCGACAGAGCGCCTCCAAGCGTCCCGGTGAGTGGCGGGGGCATTGCGGTGCCTACGCAACGTTGACTCCCTCGCCCGGTCCGCGGGAGGTCAAGGGTTCTATCCCGACCCTTGCGCTGCCCGCTGCTGTTTGCGTCTCTCTCCCCGTGGATTTCTCTCGGGGCCCTGCGGTCCCCCCCACCCCCCCTCCACGTTCGGAATCGACGTCTCCACGCGTTCAGAGTCATTTGGTTGCTGCTGCTGATGCTGTTGCTGCTGATGCTGTTGCTGCTGATGTTGTTGTTGCTGCTGCTGCTGCTGCTATACATTTGCCACCCAACGACAATGACGACAATAAGCCACCGAGTGAAGCTGTCACTTGTGATAGCCGGTGAAGCTTCTACAAAACAAGTTGTGACACAGCCACTTAGTCAGGCTTAGTGTCACGTAGACAGAACGTGCCAACGACTTACTAGTTGATAGTGTATATAGTAGTGTAGTGTATACTAGTGTGTTGTGTAGTGTATACTAGTGTAGTGTGTAGTGTATATAGTAGTGTAGTGTATATAGTAGAGTAGTGTGTAGTGTATATAGTAGTGTAGTGTATACTAGTGTAGTGTGTAGTGTATACTAGTGTAGTGTATGTAGTAGTGTAGTGTATATAGTAGTGTAGTGTATGTAGTGTGTAGTGTATATAGTAGTGTAGTGTGTAGTGTTGGAGAGTAAACCCACCACAACATTCGTCAATTCGAGTACCTGGTGACACTTCACCGGCAATTACAACGACGATGACAACAACCACAACCGGCATCATCATCAATGCTGCTGCTGGTTGTTGTTGTTGCATTTCGGGAAGCGTCGCAGAGTTCTGTGCGTCTGTGAGGTTTTTCTCGGCGTGGTCTTTCCCCAGCGGACGGGCGAGGAGGGAACGCCCAGAGCGTGGTCCCCAAGAGCGATGCCGAGTGCAGGTAGCCAACACAACTACCACCAACACCAATACCACCGCCACCAATACCAACACCACCACCAATACCAACACCACCAACACTTACACCACCACCAACACCACCGCCACTAACACCACCACCACCAATACCAACACCGCCACCAACACTACCACCACCGCCACCAACACCGCCACCGCCACCAACACCAATACCGCCACCGCCACCAACACCACCAACACCACCTACGCCGCAACCACCACAGCCACCAACACCGCCAACAACGCCGCCGCCACCAACACCGCCACCTCCACCACCACCACCACGGTGGAGCAGAAACAATCAGAATTTTAGGACCTTGCCCCCCCCCCCGGTTGACGGTTGACACCGCCGGATGAAAGCCGCTCCCCAAATCACCGCCGCCACACCACGTGGGGCGTGGCGGCGACGCCATCCGTCTGGCTCCTGCACCATCACTCCGCGGTGGCTCGGAGATGTTGACTACCTCGCCTGGCACGCAGGAGGTCGTGGGTTCGACCCCTGACGATGCCTGCCGCTTGATATTTGGAGTTTGCGGCGCCTTCAGAAGCGGCTCCTGTCGATGCGCTTCGTGCGTTCAGTTTGTCAACCTTCACCCGAACCTCCGAATTAGAAACGGTTTGTCTACGAGCGGTGCGGAATAACGAGTTCAACGTACGCGCACGCTCGTGCACTGGGTGCGTGCGTATCGCACTCGCGCGAGGTACGTGCGTCTCACCATCGCCTACTTTCTCCGCTCCCTCCAATGGCTACGGGCGCGGTGTGCTGGCCGGGGATCGCTACAGCGGCGGCGTGGAGATGACGAAGCTGCAGCACGTGGTGGTGGTGGTGGTGGAGGAGGAGACGTGAGGGGAGGAGGCGATGGTGGTGTAATAAAAGACGGCGTCATTTACTGCTGGTCTCCGCTCGTCTTTTATTCAGGTTCTTCTCCGCACCCCACTGGTCTCCTCCGCGGACCAGCGTCGTCTCCTCTCGCGCGCCCCGCACGTACTCCCTCCTCAACTCCGCCACTCGTCCTCACGCCCGCTGCTCCTGACAAGGGACCAGTGTCTCCTCTCGCGCGCCCCGCACGCGCTCTCCCGTCAGTCGCTCCGCTCCTCCCCGCTCCGCACACCGCTGGCCGACGGTGTGCGGAAGCCCCCTCAGTCACGTGGCTGATGGGGCGGCGGCCACCCCACGTGGTCCCGCTTCTTCACTCCATCGACTGGCCCCGATCTCTCCCGGGCTCCCCTCTATAACCTCTCTCCCACGTGACCCCGACTCCTCCGCTTCCTGATCGTTACATCCGGCCTTCCCATCCTGCCCTGCTGGCTCCACCCCCGTTCACCTCGCTTCCCATTGGAGCTGCCGAGGTGAACGGCGGCCCCTGCCACACGCCCCCCACACCGGGCTCCGCCCCCAACACCCCGGGCCGCGTGATTGGGCCAGAGTCCAGCAGCAACCCCATTGACGCCGCATTACACATGTAACGTCAACTTTTGAAAGTTCACATTTATCACGAATATCACATTCTTGTTTATCTGTCTGCTTGAGAATGTCTTCAAAGTGTTTCGGTCGGAAATATTCCTCCCAGGCCAAGCCCCAGGGACGTCGTCTCCCAGCAAACACGCAGAGACAATACAACTCACGTCACCCCAAGCTTAGTGAGCACGCAACATCAGGGAAGAACAGCACCAACAACAGAGATCTGAGCTGGTCCTGGGCATCCCCTTCACCAACCCGCACTGACCAGCGTGGTGAAGTATGGTCACAACAACCTCCACGACCGACATGGCGAGGCGAGGCCATCACCGTGCAACGTGTCGACAACGGGCTGTGGGGAATGCTGAAAGTAATGCAGTTGCTGCTGCAGTAAGGTGGTGTTTCTGCCGTACTTCCCTCCAGCATGTATACAAACACATTCCTCCTGCGGAGGGAGCTGGTAGGAACGTCGGGTTGCTCGGTCAATGGCCTGCAGGGTCAACGGCCAGGGCGTGGTGTATTCCGCAAATATGCCGACTGTGAGGGCGGGCACAAGCCGGCGTGAGTAGGTTAAACGTTGAGTTTTATAAGGGCACCACGGGGTGACCAGCCCCTCCCCACCCAGCCCCACCCCACCCAGCCCCTCCCCTCCCTGCACGACGGACGGAAACAATAATCCCCTGTGGGCTGGTGTAACCAGTGGGTTCCTACCAGTACAAATACTATGACCCTGGCGCTGCGTCTCTCTCCACGCCTCTGCCCAATGGCGGCTCTTTTGCTCAAACTTCCAAAATCCCTTTGGGTGTTAAGCCTTATTCTTCATTTAATAATAATAATAATAGTACAATTTGTAACGCGCGCAAATTTGCAGACGTAGTGGCCGCACCTCCTTCAAGTTGCCAAGTCGTGTCTTCAATTGTTTTTGCCTCGTGTCTTTTCCCCCCAACATCTCGTCCTCGCTAAACCTCACGGCAGCTCATTCATATTCCATCAGCCATTGTCCCCTTGACACGAGTTTGACATCGAACGAGAAGTAGGGCTGTGTGCAGTGAACCCTGCACTTGTTTCCGTCTGTACGACGATGTGATCTTTCACCGTGACGACGACCTTTGTAAATGTCATCGCAACAAATGGATTTTATAAGATAACATGTACCCATGTTTATTGTGAAATGAGTCGACACAATAAAAAAACATGGAAACACGATGATGATATGTTTGTTTAGGGATTGACTTGAATTGTTTTCTGACTGTATCAAATGTGTTACCTCTTTAATCTCATGATCTGGAGCTTGTATTACTCTCCATTGAGCTGTAGCAGGGATGAAACAAATAATACATCTTCCCTGCCCATCCTCAGCCTGCCGTGTCGATTACAGGAGCACAGCTGTCGGATTGTTTACATTGTTGCGATTTTATTCATAAATAAATAAAAAATTAACCCGTAAAAACAAAGTTTTTCACTATAAATCCTTTATATGCGTGGCATCGGGGCGGCTAGAGTCCTCTCGTCCTCTGGCTTGAGATGGCTGCCACCTATGGGTCAGATGATTGTCTGGCAGCATTAAACAATTGGTAATTAAATATGTATTTTCCCCTAAACAGTGTAAAATTTTGCAGTCTCGAAGTCATCTTCTGCACGTGTCACTACTCTCACCTGTCTCCATGCTGCACGCACTTCTTCTGCCTCACGAGCTTCTCATCGTTCAACAGAAAGTGTGACAACGCGTACGATACTGAAGATAAAAACTCACATTGTGGAAGGTCAAATCCAGACGTGACTGAGCCAATGTCTATGGCAGCTGTGTCTCGCGATGAATCACTTCCAGTAGCTGATCGAGCTGCCCTGACTTGTGCACACAAAGGACTGCTCTTGTCAAGGACTCTCATGACTTAATTTGGAGCTTTCAGTGACTGCAGGAATTATTCTTTGGTTCTTTCGGTAAAGTGACGTATAAAGATAAAATAATAAAATAAATTAAATACTAGCATACGACGTTTCGATTGCAACACAAGCAATCATCATCAGGTATACATTAAATAGAAACACAAATCTAGTATACTTAGAAATGTAATGTAATACAACAGAGAGTCGGATAACATAACAGTCAACACCCTACCTGGTTGATTACGTTCTTCCTGAGAATGCTAAATTTGAGAGAGAGATTATGGTTCTGGTTCTGTGTTTGATCTCTCTCTCAAATTTGGCATTCTCAGGAAGAACGTAATCAACCAGATAGGGTGTTGACTGTTATGTTATCCGCCTCTCTGTTGTATTACATTACATTTCTAAGTATAATAGATTTGTGTTTCTATTTAATGTATACCTGATGATGATTGCTTGTGTTGCATTCGAAACGTCGTATGCTGGTATTTAATTTATTATTTTATCTTCATACGTGACTTTACCGAAAGAACCAAAGAGTACTCTCATGACGTGTAATGCCTGCGAGCTCATAGACATTGTGACAGCAGCAGAAGGTCGCTGTTCCTCTCGTGTCCTTGGGCAGCGATGTCGCAATGCCGGGATACGTTGCTGGCGAGCGTCTATTGCGCACACGGTGACACAGGCACCAGGTACCCAAAGCCAACGTGGACTTCTTCACATTTGAAGTCCCAAACAGCACGGAACACTCATTCATATGAGGCTGAGATGACCTTGAGAAGGAGCATGCCAGATACCAGAAGCCAAGAACGGAACCTGTTTTTTTAAAAATCCTTTATATTAAGTTCGCTTGCGTGCTTGCGTGCTTACTTGCTTGCTTACGACCGTGTAAATCTTTCGGTCGTTTTTTAACCCACTTCCCGTGATCCAATCGAGCTGACATTTTCCACACAGACTCGTTGTGCGAGACAATTAATTTTCGTGAAACAAATTTTCCCAAATTTTACACTGTTTAGGGAATTTTTTTAAATATTTAATTATCAATTGCTTAATAGTGGCAGACAATCATCTGACCCATAGGTGGTAGCCATCTCAAGCCAGAGGACGAGAGGACTCTAGCCGCCACGCATATAAAGGATTTAAAGTGAAAAACTTTGTTTTCACGGGTTAATTTTTGCAAGGTTTGAATTACAATACTCTGTCCAACACACACTCGTACACCCTTAGCCTCGCTCACCCACATAAGCATTACACATTTTCAAAAGAACCCCTGTGCGGCCGATGCTGACTGTGCTGACTGTTGGGGCAATGCGATTTGCTGGTAGTCGTGAAGGCTGCAATGGTGGTGGGGTGGCCAGCACCACGTCTGTCTCCCCAACGCTGAATCTGACGTCACACACCGGCTACTTACTCACTTAAGGCTCAAAGCCGAGGGGATGCCCAGGAACGGTTCCTATATTTGCAACCGAGTTAGAAGTGGCTGCTGGATATTTGTATTCAGATCACCACGTTTGTAGCGCATTTCACTAACCAGCACGCCACATGTCTGCCCGCCCCACATACACAGAGGCACACTATCAGTATGCAACCGAGGAGGCAAAAGATGAGCCGGGCCAACTTGTATTGGCACACACCGGGGTTAATCGAAAGAGCATCATCATCACGGTGCCTAGGAGATGTTAACTACCTCGCCTGGTATACAAGAGGTCGTGGGTTCGATCCCGACTAACGCCTGCTGCTGTATATTTGAAATCTGCGTGTCTCTCTCTCATCATCATCACGGTGGCTAGATGTTGACTACCTCGCCTGGTATACAGGAGGTCGTGGGTTCTATCCAGACCCTGATGCCTGCTGCTGTATATTTGGAGTTTGCGTGTCTCTCTCATCATCATCATCATCACGGTGGCTAGGAGATGTTGACTACCTCGCCTGGTATACAGGAGGTCGTGGGTTCGATCCCGATCCTAACGCCTGCTGCTGTATATTTGCAGCCTGCGTGTCTCTCTCCCCGTGGCCACGTGGATTTCTCTCCGGGTTTTCCCTCCACATTTAGAATCACAAGGCCCTCAAGAGTGTGTGCATGCTTTAATTTCACCGGTGGGGTAAAATGTGGGTGGTGGTGGTCAACATTTCCGACTGGATATCTGTGATGAAGAGCTTCACAGCTCATCGGATTCCTCCAAGATACATCATCACCGAGTCTGTGTAGTCCCACCTCTCCTAAAACAAAGTATCGGCCAGCGTGGAAGAGTAGGCCAAGTTACATCCCACGGAGGCTCTCTCTCCAGAGCTCCCTCGAGAAAACCTTCCGTCGCAGCGGTGACGCGAGCACTTGCAGGACTGCACCTTTACCCATCGGCATTAGCTGCTTGAAGTCTGCTCCTGTGACCGGGTTACACGTCCACATCGCTACGAGTGTATTTGGGTGAAGTTATTTTTATAACGGCCGAACGTGCACACGCGCAATGCGCATGCATCGTGTGCATGCGTGCATCGTGTGCATGCGTGATCAACATACGTTGTGTGTGTCGATATAACCCAGTCAATGACAGACACACGCTGTCATCCACGACGACATTCACTCCCCACCCCCCTTCTGGTCTGCACAACTGATTGCCGAGTTTGTGTTTCGCAATCGGAAGAGGTGTTTGGTTCGTTACTGGAGAAATCTGCCGAGCCACGCGGCTTATTTGTGTTTATTTACACAGATTTCCGGCAAGTTGCAACAAAGAAAGTGACACAAACAGCAACTTCTGCTCTGTGTGTTGAACTTCTTTCGCACCGTACGTAGCCCAGCCGTGCTGATCCACTCGCTGTTCACTACTCACGATGTTTGTCGTTTGCCTTTGCTGCCGTTTAGTTATTTGAGCGGCGCCTCAACGCTGAAGGTCACAGGCAGTCTCAGTCCAGGGCCGTTCAAATAAGTGACTTTCATAGTCTTAGTTCTTTCGGTAAAGTCACGTAGAAGGGGAATAATAAAATAATGTAAATATAAAACAATACAATTTCTCACGTTTCGACTGCAACACAAGCAATCATCATCATCATCAGGTGTGAAATCCACAGCAAGAACATTTTAAAAATGTTTTTTCTGTGGATTTCACACCTGATGATGATGATTGCTTGTGTTGCAGTCGAAACGTGAGAAATGTTATTGTTTTAATATTATATTATTTCCCTTCTACGTGACTTTACCGAAAGAACCAAGAATATGAATCCCTGCAGTCACGAAAGCTTTAAATCGAAATTTAAGTGACTTTCATTTGACCGACGTCGCACGTACAAACACACTGGGCTCGCAACGTGACGCCAATCATTGACTCAGAAGGTCAAACAACCCAGAGGTCACCGGTCCGTCACCCGCCGTCGCTACGGCAGCTGAACCAATGGACACGTTTCTCAAACGCGCCCAGCCACCACCCGGTCCAGTCGGTGGGGTAGAGTGTGGGCTACCCCCACTCTGGTGTGTTCTCCCACGGCGTCTGTAGACGTCAGCGTGGAAGAGTAGGCCAAGTAGCCCATCGAGGAGCTCTGTCCAGAGCTCCTCAGAGTGGGAAGGCCGTTCTGCCAACAAGAGCCTGAGTAGGGGAATTGCAGGGACCGCGCCTTTATCTTCTTTTATCAGCGGATGCTTTGAAGTGAATTGTCAGTGGCGGATCTACAATTCCTTACTGGCTGTCGTGTGTGGCGTAGTGTGTGTGGTGTGGTGTGTGTGTGGTGTGGTGTGTGGTGTAGTGTGTGTGGCGTAGTGTGTGTGTGTGGTGTGTGTGTGTGGCGTAGTGTGTGTGGCGTGGTGTGTGTGTGGTGTGTAGCGTGTGTGTAGTGTGTGTGTGTAGTGTGTGTGTGGTATGTGTGTGGTGTGTGTGGGTGGTGTGGTGTGTGGTGTGTGGTGTGTGTGTGTGGTGGTGTGGTTTATGTGTGTGGCGTGGGGTGTGTGGGTGGTGTGGTGTGTGTGTGACGTAGCGTGTGTGGGTACGTTAAACGTACACCCTGTGGTTCGTGAGCCAAATCCTTAGCCAGTTTCATCCACACACACACCACACATACACACACCACACACACAGATAAAGAGACAAAAATGACTTTTATAGGCGAGACACTGCATACAAGTGCAGTGCGAAGTCGTGTGAAGTAGTAGATTCAGTGTGACGCGGCTCGCAGGGAAGGGTGCGACGGACCTCGCTGTGAATCCCAACAAGCGCCGAGTGAACGGTGCCTAGATTTGGCAAACGCGGCGTTAACGAGAACAAAGGAATAAATGGAACAACGGCACTTGGTCGCTAAGCGCATTCAAGTGGCGACGTCACAAAACAACGGCGCTTCCACATCGTGAAGATGAAGCGCATGCAGAGTGTATAGTAGGGTAGTGCATAGTGCAGTGTAGCATCGCACGCGAGTGAAGTGTGTATAGTAGAACGCAGCTCGTAGTGAGGGGTACACGCTGGATGTCGATGCCATAAACAGCTTTATATTATTATATTATATTATTATATTATTTTATTATGTTTTATTTTTATTATTTTATTACTTCCCTTCTACGTGACTTTACAGAAAGAACCAAGAAGATGAATCCCTGCAGTCACGAAAGCTTTAAATCGAAAAGCTTTGTGGGGGTCGCGATTTCAGTCGAGGCCCCCCCTAGACTGGGGCTGGAGGCTACTTGCAAGCGAATTGATCGACGGTCCACGGGCAAAGCTTGCACTTGATGTTCTGCTTGAGCTGTTCCTTGCACCCGCACTGCGTCTCCACCGTGACTGGGGAGGGAACAGCAGAGGGGAGAGAGCTAATGAGATCATCACAATTGTGCGACCGCCGTTAACGTCGAGGTGAACAAAATCTCCGCGCACTTCTCCTCCCGACGTTGTCAAACGACCAGAGGTCGCAACCGGGTACCCGATACCCGGCTACCCGTACCCGGCCGGGTACGGGTAGCCGTTTGCGATCCTGGTGCGGCCGGGTACGGGTAGACCGTGAGTCACTGGTGAGTCACCGTTTGTCACTCATTTCCCAACATCTTGTCTCTTCTCACAATTCAAGTTCCTAGAATCAACCCACCCGCGCCTGCAACATGGCTTCATCCCAGAGGTCGCAAGCGGGTACCCGAAACCCGTACCCTACCCGTACCCGGCCGGGTACGGGTAGGGTACGGGTACGGCCGGGTACCCGCTAGCGACCCTGGTGCGGCCGGATACGGGTACGAGGGGTAAGGAATCAAAACCCGTTTGCGACCTCTGCGAATGACCCGCGGGGAAGCGGCTGTCGCAGAGCCACTGCCGACGATATCCCTTCGAGCAACCTAAGGATCACGGAAAGCAGTTCTACAGAAATGCATTTTCGGTGTGATTGCGTGGTGTACGGTACTGTATAGTAGTGAAGACTAGTGCGTAGTGGTATAGGGACGGTGTGAATAGAGAGAGACGGTGGTGTGTGGCCAGGTGGTCATTACAGTAGTGTAGAGTCGTGGTGTAGAGTAGTGTATAGGATGTGATGTATAGTGTAGTGTAGTGTATAGTTTGTACGTTGAACTTCTTGACACCGTACATAGCCAACCATGCGCTCAGGTGGTGCGGGCAGGGGAAAGACAAACTAAATACTAAAAGCAGTTCTAAAGAAAACAGTGTTCAATCTAGACTAATATAGTGCTTTCTATTATCGGAAGAGCATTCCAGACGGCCGCAGACGCTCATCCGAGAGCGCTACGCGCAATGATGCAGTGACCAGCGTCTCTGTCCGATGGCAGAGCTAGAAAGCCGCCGCTGCTGCTACCAAGATGACCGGGAGTTTGTGGAACGATTGACGCTCCTGGACGAGATCATGTTTACACGCTTTCATTGAACTCACTCCGTCTGTTGTCGTATCCTCAAATCTTGTAACTCAATTTCAACCGGGGGTGGGGGGGGGGGGGCCCACCTTGGGAGATGTCGTATCCTCTGTCGCAGCATGTGACGGTGCATTCCTCGGCTGCCTCGGTGTCGTTGCAGCGCTGCCTCCCCACCGCTCCGCTGGTGCTGCCACGGACGCAGTACTCCGGGCTGGCGCTCACGTGGACCAGGTCATACTCCGAGGGCGCCGTCAACCACTCGTTCACCGGCTCCAGACGCCAGCGGGCGGCGCCGCCACTTCCACCGCTCCTGTTGTCCCTCACCAGCCGCATGGCGGAACTTCTGTCGTACTTTCCCTGCAGCCATCATTGACATTATCGTCATCATCATCAGGGGGGGGGGAGGATCCGCCATGTTTTCTTTTGAAGTGGTGGTGGTTGAGTGAATGCTGTTAGGGACCCCTCCCCCCGTTTGTAACCCGACTGTGGATTAATCCTCCGGGTGCAGTCTCATCACCGGCAGCCGTGAGCTCACGTTCAGAAAGTCGCCAACGTCGCGAAAGTCTTCGCGCAGCGGCAGGCAGACTCTGTCGCATTCACCGGTTCTGTTGTCGCAACCGCAGTAGTACAACAGTTCTTCCATCACCTGCAGCACCACCACCACGGTCATTGTTACTACCACAATCAGTTACCACCAACACCATCATCATTTGTCACTACCAACCGCCATTCGCCACTAAGTGGCGGTGACGTCACGAGGGAGATTGTGCCAGGCCGTGTGCACGTTGAGGCCACGTGAAGTGTCCAACGCCCGCTGGCAGGAGGTCACGGGGCAGACCCAGGTGCCACGGGTCGACTGACTGAGATGACTGGCTGATGCACCACCTGTGCCCCCTACTATGCCAACATGCTGTGCTTTAGCCACCCGGCGCTCCGCTCGTTGTTGTGAGCGTCGCTCCTCCACCCTCTGTTGTTGTTGGAGGGCGACTGCCTCCAACTGCCCAGTAGCGTCCTTCACGAGCCTCCTCCACAGAGGCCGATCTTGACACCGCTGGTACCAGTCATCGGCAAGTCCACTCAGCTCCACGTCCTCCTGTACCACATCACTGCATCCCTTCTCCAGCCTGTGCCGCACCCAAGGGTAGTGGCGCAAAGCCAGGCTGCTACTCACAGGAGCAGCAGCGCAACGGCTAATGACGAACCATGAGCGTGCTGACTTGGGGGGTTAGATCGGTAAAGTCACGTAGATAGAAAAATAATAAATCACATTTCAACCTGCAACACAAGCAATCGGGTGGCTACAGCAGTAGAACTGCTGAACAAGACAACCCCTAGACAACGATGCCGATCCAAGTATATAATGTGCAGCATTTCATAAACTGATACTTTTTTCCATAAAAAAAACATTTTATACGACAATACCTACAACCCACCCGCCCACTCACCACGCGACCAACTTCGTAGTTGTGCAAATCTATCTGCACGAGTTTCGCCAAAGACTTGCGTTGTCCCCCTCGCCTCCAGCGGTCGTGAACACTCGCGTCCACAAACACCTTGGCGAAATGGGCTCCGTACTCGATGTTACCTCTGGGGTGCAGCAAGGGGTCATAGGTCCAGGTGCAGCTGTCGCGGATCACCTGCGGGGTGTAGCAGGCGCGCGCCACCGCGTGCACCACTCCCGCGGCAGTGAGGGCGGAGAAGAAGGCGGTCTCGCGAGAGCCTGCCCCCCCCCCCCCCCCCCCCCCACAAAACAATTTCATCATTTGTCTATAATGGAGGTTGTTGTTTTTCTATCTAGCGTAGGTCGCCGAAATAGAAACGTCACGTCGTTAAAACAGCCGCCGCGTCCGACCGGCAAGGCTTCGGCACGTAGACAGAACGTGGCGAATTCTTGACTAGTGCAATGACAGGGCTCATGGAACCTGCTGGAAGGTTCTAGAAGGGGGCGTGTCTGGGCTAGAGGTAGAAGGTGGGTCAGTGGGGAAGCTCATGGAACCTGCTGGAAGGTTCTAGAAGGGGGCGTGTCTGGGCTAGAGGTAGAAGGTGGGTCAGTGGGGAAGCTCATGGAACCTGCTGGAAGGTTCTAGAAGGGGGCGTGTCTGGGCTAGAGGTAGAAGGTGGGTCAGTGGGGAAGCTCATGGAACCTGCTGGAAGGTTCTAGAAGGGGGCGTGTCTGGGCTAGAGGTAGAAGGTGGGTCAGTGGGGAAGCTCATGGAACCTGCTGGAAGGTTCTAGAAGGGGGCGTGTCTGGGCTAGAGGTAGAAGGTGGGTCAGTGGGGAAGCTCATGGAACCTGCTGGAAGGTTCTAGAAGGGGGCGTGTCTGGGCTAGAGGTAGAAGGTGGGTCAGTGGGGAAGCTCATGGAACCTGCTGGAAGGTTCTAGAAGGGGGCGTGTCTGGGCTAGAGGTAGAAGGTGGGTCAGTGGGGAAGCTCATGGAACCTGCTGGAAGGTTCTAGAAGGGGGCGTGTCTGGGCTAGAGGTAGAAGGTGGGTCAGTGGGGAAGCTCATGGAACCTGCTGGAAGGTTCTAGAAGGGGGCGTGGCCTAGCTACGCTCGCCGTGTTCCGGCCGCATGTCCGATCCTCTGCACGGCTCCCATCGTCGTCATCGCTGCATTAGTCAGCCAGCTGTGCAGTTAGAAGCCGACGATGGGGCCGTGTAGAAAGGTCGTCCGTGTGTAGCTGAACGTCGAGGGGAAACCCGCTTTGCCGGGAGAGGCTCGACACTGGCTCTGACCCGGGGAGACGATCTCCTTACCCGACCGAGGAATAGGGACGAGCCCATTCTCCGTGGTCCAGTTCGACCGCTTGGCCTGGAACTGGTGCCGATACTCGGCAATCGCCAGCTGGACACCCTCGGCCACGAGCTTCATGAAGTGCGGCTGCTTCTGGCATATTTGGCGCTGTGTGGGGGACAGCCCCGGCGACGTGCTGCACAACAGCAGCGGATGCGTGGAGGGGTCGACCCGGGGTGTCCACAATGCCAGCGACCTGCAGAGGGAAGGGGGTGGAGGGGGGTCACGGTGGCCAGGGGATGTTGACTACCTCGCCTGGTATGCAGTAGGTAGTAGGTTTGATCCCAACCCTGACGCCTGCTGCTGCTGTATATTTGGAGTCTGTGTGTCTCTATCATCATCACTGTGGCTAGATATATTTTTTGACAACATTTATACATTTACGCGATGTAACCCCCCCCAAAAAAACTCCTGTGGATGATATTGGTCACGAGAGCCCTGCCCGCTACTCGGTGTTAAACAAAACACAAACAGCCGTATGGGGGGGGGGGGGGGGGGGGTGTGCAAGATATTAGACACTTGTGCGCCCATCGCAGAAGAAGAGTGAAGAGGAAATCAGCGGCGGCGTCTCGCGGTTACCACCAAGAGTCGCTGGCGACTGCCCCCAGCTGTGCCGTGGCGCAGAGTCCCAGCAGCAACGGGGAGAAGCCCATCGGAGTTCTCATGGCCAGCGACACTGTGCAGAAGAGAAGCAGAGCGGTGGTGACGATGTTCACACCCTCGCATGGTCTGCATATTTTGAGTTTTCATGTCTCACTCATCATCATCACGGTGGCTGGGAGATGTTAACTTCCTCGCCTGGTACACGGGATCGAACCCACGACCGCTTGTGTACCGGGCGAGGGAGTCAACATCTCCTAGCCACCGTGGTCGTGATGAACTCCAACTGCTGATGTCTGTATAACCACGACGTGCATTGAATGTGTGGGTGGCATCGTTTGGCGCGATGCAATATTCTTGGCCTGCAGTACCGGTCCCGTGTCAACAGGGGGCGCAAGGGCCGAACGAGATTTACTCGTCTTCCTGGTTCTTTCGGTAAAGTCACGTAGAAGGGAAGTAATAAAATAATAAAAATAAAACATAATAAAATAATTCTCACGACGTTTCGGCCACAACGCAAGCAGCCGTCCTCAGGTGAAGAACAGGTCTGTCGAGAAGACAGAGTCTGAATGACAACCCCAGGCTTGGAGCGTCTTTTTAAGCTGGGTTGGAGGGGGGGGAAGAGCGCCTTGACAAAAGAATTTGCATTTCAAGAGAAATTTAGCATATTTATGGGAAATGTGTAGGAGGTGGGCTGGGGGTTTTCAAAGTCATATTATACCCATGCATTATGCAGGATTAGCAGCATCAAAGGGAGGGGGTAGGGGGTAGCATTAACAAAGGGAGGGAATGTTAATAGTATGTAGAAGCAGGAGACCCGCAACGGAGCAAATATTGCATTCCCTGTGGAGCACACAAGATACAGTCAATGCCAGTGAGTGGACTGCGGTCTGAAAGTCACCGTAAACGTGAACAATCAGTTAAGATCCGAAATGGTTTATTACGTCCTTCCAATGATTGCCGAGCCAGAATCCATCTTCTCGGTTGAAATTGTCTCTGTGTTTATATATGTGGATCGCCTCATGAACGAATCTCTCATGGTAGCCAGATGGCTTGCAGAGAACCTCCGTCTTGGAGAAGTCAATGTCATGCGAGCCCACTGATATTGTAACAGTGATCTGCCACGGCTGAGGTGTTTGTCTTACCGTGTTTCAGGTCTGCTTTATGTTCACGGATACGATCCGAGACATGTCGTTTGGTTTCTCCAATGTAACTGCTACCACAGAGGCAACTTAGTTTGTAGACGCCAGGGTACTGTATATCTGGAACCACGTCTTTTACAGACGGGACCAGATCACGGATTTTATGTACTGTGTTGAATCGGACCTGGATCTTGTGTTTAATCAGGATTTTGGAGATCTTTTTTGTGACCCCAGCAATGTAGGGTAAGGTGATGGTTTTGATAGGCTCCTCAACAGGATCTTTCTTGATGGTTGGAGTGATGGCCTTGCGGATTGTGTAGTCGGAGTAACCATTAGCCTTAAGAGCTTGGCGTACGTGTTTGAGTTCACTGGCAATGTGTTCCTGGTCGGAGATGCATTGGGCTCTATGGTATAGAGTCTTGATGAGGGAGTTCTTCTGGGATGGATGGTGGTGGGAATCCGGTTTTAGGTAAGCATCCGTGTGGGTGGCTTTCCTGTAGACAGAGTGGCTCATTGAACCATCAGGTCTCCTTTTAATTAGGACATCCAAAAAGGGTAGCTTGCCATCTTTTTCGACTTCCATGGTGAATCTGATGGCTGGGTGTATGGAATTGATGTGGTCGAGGAATTGGTCTAGAACAGGCCGGCCATGTGGCCAGATGACAAAAGTGTCATCTACGTACCTCTTCCATAAGGTCGGGTGTAGAGTGGCAGTCTGGATGGCGTCGGTCTCAAATTTCTCCATGAAAACGTTGGCTACAACCGGAGATAGGGGGGAGCCCATTGGGGTACCCTCAGTTTGTTTGTAGAAAGTTCCATTCCAGGTGAAATATGTATTGGTTAAGCAGTGTCTCACCAGGGGGGTACCTCAGTATTCAGTCCTTGATGAACCAAGTCTTCAATGATTGCGATGGTGTCAGGTACAGGAACTTTGGTGAATAAGGAAACCACATCAAAACTGACAAGCAGGTCGTCTGGGGACAGGGAAATCCCCTTGATTGTCAATACCAGGTCAGTAGAGTTTAGTACCGCAGAGGTGGTTTTTCCAGTGAAAGGCCGTAGGATTTCAGACAAAAAACGAGCCCTTCTACGTGACTTTACCGAAAGAACCAAGAAGATAAGTCCCTGCAGTCACGAAAGCTTTAGAGATTTCCTCGATTAAGTAGATAATTCAGTGTGTAACAAAAACATGTTTTATTGTTGTCCCTGTGTAGTGAAGTGTTATTACCTAATAGCTAGTGCCTCAAAAGTAGAGAAAGTGGGCTCTTAATACTCCACACAAACGTTGCTTGTGTGACCCAGGACACAAACGCGAAGTGAATAATCCACTCCATTAATAACAGTGTCACAACAACATTGTCCCTTAGTAGTACAGTTTTATTACCTAATAGCTTACGTCTCAAAAGTAGAGAAAGTGGCTATTGTTGTTCTCCACAAATTCTAGATTTGAAGCTTTCGTGATTCGTGACTGCAAGGATTCATACTCTGAGGTTTTTTCGGTAAAGTCACGTAGGTAGAAATAAATAAATATTTTTTTTACAAATAAATTAAAATAAAATCTCCTCACAAACGTTGCTTGGGACCCAGGACATTGATAAATTTAACTATTTTAAATAAAAAAACGTGGCGTGCATGTGTGTCACCCCTTCACGTAAAGTCCTGCTCACAAACGCAAAGTTTGTGTGGAATAATACTATTCATTAAAACACACTTTGTAGGCACATAACCAATTTAGCAACACACAACACTTTACTACGCAGGGTCAGACCTCGTGTTCGGTAGTCACCCGGCAGCGGTGTTCTAGTTGTTGTTGTTGAACTAATAAATATAATCTAGATATGCAAGGAGACCCATGCATTGTATAGGTAAACCCACTAAAAGAAACTCCTTAAAAAAAAAAAATTTAATACAAATTTATTTTTTATTTTAAAAAATTGTAACATTTTTTTAAAGAAGTCGAGCGGACAACGTGGAAGTGAACGACGTGTCGCCCACGAGCCTTGAGCGCACCACACGCACACAGAGAGAGAGGGGGACGAATGAAGTTGAATAATAAAACAACATGTTTGAGTTGCGCAACACGCGCTCGGCGCTCACCGCGTGTTCAGAAGCTTCGTGGGCGACGCGATTCCAGAGCTCATGGGCCGCGGTGTTCTCGATTCCCGGCGGGAAAATAGATATTTAATTAACAAGACGTCCACGCTTTTAAAGAGACGCTTAAGTGATTGACGCCGATTTTTATTGATTGCTTTATCAATTAGGTGTTTTTTATTTAGAGTGATGCACGCACACGACGCAGGTGAGCCTGAGGCACGTGGCGCCTGGTTGGTGTGCGGGCAGTACGTTGTCACAGTGAGCACACAGTCTCGTGGATTGGACAACAGGAAGTAGACTAAACATGTTGTTACAAGATGTTGACCACGACAATCAGAGGAATATCACGTGAAGTGAAAGCGTTGAAAAATATAAAGGGGCAGAAATTACTCCATCAAGAAAACTAAATTTTAATTAAAACCCAGTACACATGCAACGTTGAGACAATGTGGTTAACATAGGTGTACACACACAGTGTGGTTAACATACAGTGAGGGAAACAAGTATTTGATCCCCTGCTGATTTTGTACGTTCGCCCACTGACAAAGAAATGATCAGTCTATAATATTAAAGGTAGGTTTATTTGAACAGTGAGAGACAGAATAACAACAAAAATCCAGGGAAAAATGTTATAAATTGATTTGCATTTTAATGAGGGAAATAAGTATTTGACCCCCTCTCAATCAGAAAGATTTCTGGCTCCCAGGTGTCTTTTATACAGGTAACGAGCTGAGATTAGGAGCACACTCTTAAATGGAGTGCTCCTAATCTCAGCTTGTTAGCTATATAAAAGACACCTGTTCACAGAAGCAATCAATCAGATTCCAAACGCTCCACCATGGCCAAGAGCAAAGAGCTCTCCAAGGATTTAAAGCTTTCGTGACTGCAGGGATTCATCTTCTTGGTTCTTTCGGTAAAGTCACGTAGAAGGGAAGTAATAAAATAAAAAAAAACATAATAAAATAATTCTCACGACGTTTCGGCTACAACGCAAGCAGCCGTCTTCAGGTGAAGAATGAGACACTGCCAAGCGAGGAGCTTATATATAAGCTGGGTAGGAGGTGGAAGAGGAGCGCCTTAACAAAAGAATGTGCATATCAAGAGGAATTTAGCATATTCATGGGAAATGTGTAGGAGGTGGGCGGGGGGGGTTTCAAAGTCATATTATGCCCATGCATTATGCAGGATCAGCAGCACCAAGGGAGGGTGCAGGGAGTAGCATTAACAAAGGAAAGGAATGTTAATAGTATGTAGCTGCAGTTACTGAACAACCACGTAGAAAACTAAAGTATAAACTACATAAAAAACTGAAGTATAAACTGCATAGCATCATCAGTATATTTACTATACTCTACAATAAGCTGAGTTTACTAACAGCAAGTAATACATTACAATTCTACGTCGTAAAAATTATATAATATGCTTCCATCTAAACTTTATTCTCTTACATCACACGAGCATACACCGTACTATATACTGCCATAGATAAACCCAACATTAAATTATATACTGTATTGCTATAAACCACCCTATACCTTATACATTTTAATATAACACTATGTATTATTCTACCCACCCTAATGTGTATCACACTGCTATATGCTGCTATATGTTTACTATACAATTACGATACTATATGTTACTTTGTACATTGTATTAAGCATATAACTGTTATTAATGTAATGCGGGCGTAAATGGGCGGGGCGGATATGACGATCCGAGAGGGAGGAGTCAGGGTCACGTGGGGGAGAAGTTATAGCGGGGAGACAGGAAGCCATCTGGGTCAGTCGGGGGAGTGAAGGGTGGTGAACGCGTTGGGTGGTCGCCGTGCCTCAGCCTGGTGGCTGAGGGGCTCATGACGGCGCCAGCCAGCGGGGTGGAAGAGAGTTGGGGATAGAGCTGAGATTGGAGATGGCGAGATAGCCACAGAGGCCACGCAGGGCTGAGGTTGGGGAGTGGCGAGATCGCCACACACGGTAAGACTCGGCACCGCCGGCCAGCGGTGACCGAGCACGGAGGAACAGGGAGCAGCGGTGGAGCTGCTGTGAGAGCAGCCAGAGGGCTGCACCAAGAGCCTGCAGCGGAGCTGCAGGAGCGCGGAAGGCTACGGGAGCGAAGGCAGCTGTGGAGCTGCCAGGCAGAGAGTCTCAGGAGGAGTGCCGTGAGGGAAAGAGAACGCGAACCCAAATAAAGGACACGGAGACAGAACCAGGGTCGAGTCCTTTATTACACATGTAAGCTGGGCTTAGTTATGACAACAACAAAGTTGTTTGTTGTTAGAACTACAGGAATATATTTTTTCTTAAAATAATAAATTTATACTGAAACACTGCACACAAATTGTACAGACGGTCATTTTGGTGTCACCTCCTCTGATGGTGTCACCCTGTGCGGTTCGCACCCCCCTAGTGACACCACTGCACTACACTACTATGCACTACCCTTTACACTAACCCATACACAACTCCTGTTGCGGGTGTGATCTTACTGATCCTAAACGGGCTACGATTTGCTAATGCGTCGTAGTCATTGGGAGCGTAATGGGGCGGAAGCTTTACAAATGACAAACATTTGAGAGTGATGTCAAAGTCTTTATTAACACCGGAGGAATCCGAAGAGCTGTAAAGCTCTTGGTGTGTCACAGATGTCCAGTAGGGGGCATGGTGTCAGAACGTTACGACAAAAACAACACAAGACACAAACACGATAGGACTTCAACAGTATAGGAAATGTTGATGGTCACTCATCCAGCTGTGGATTGACCAGTGAGGCCTAGTGGAGGCTGTTCAGTCAGGCCTAGTAAAGCCTGTCCAGTTAGGCCTAGTAAAGCCTGTTTAAGCAGGCCCAGTGAAAAAGCCTCTGCAGTCAGGCCGTGCCACGTTCACGCCGTGGGGGGCCTTGCGTGCTGCCCCCCCCCCAGCGCCCCCACCCCCCCGGAGCCCCCCCTCCCCACCCCTACCCACCGCGCCCACCCCGGCCTAGAGGCTTGACTCCTCGATGGGGGCGACGACGAGTGACGGGGGTGTCGCGTTGGAGAGAAGGACGATGGGGTCGGAGCGGAGGGGCCTGGCGGTGGTGGTGGTGGGTGGAGAGGCGGTGATGATAGTGGTGGTGGTGGTTGGAGGGGCAGTGATGATAGTGGTGGTGGTGGGTGGAGAGGCGGTGATGATAGTGGTGGTGGTGGTTGGAGGGGCAGTGATGATAGTGGTGGTGGTGGGTGGAGAGGCGGTGATGATAGTGGTGGTGGTGGTTGGAGGGGCAGTGATGATAGTGGTGGTGGTGGGTGGAGAGGCGGTGATGATAGCGGTGGTGGTGGGTGCAGGGGCGGTGATGATAGCGGTGGGTGGAGGGGCTGTGACGATAGCGGTGGTGGGTGGAGGGGTGGTGACGGTGGTGGTGGTGGGTGGAGGGGCGGTGGTGGTGGTGGTGGGTGGAGTGGCGGTGACGGTGGCGGTGACGGTGGTGGTGGGTGGAGGGGCGGCTGTGGTGCCACCGCTGCCACCACCACCACCACCGCTGCCACCAGGCAGCCCCGGGTCGGTCCGCAGCTGCGCCAGACGCTCCTCCACGCAGTGCGCCGAGAGGCGAGCCTCCGCATCCTGGTCCCAGCACTCCTCCATGGTGACACACAGCTGGGACAGTCCCTGGGAGTCACGCACCAACATCGTCACCACCACCGCCACCACCACCAAGACACCACCACCACCACCAAGCCACCACCGCCACCACCGCCACCGCCGCCACCACCGCCGCCACCACCGCCGCCACCGCCACCACCGCCACCACCACCCCCACCGCCGCCACCACCGCCACCACCACCACCAGCAAGCCACCACGAGGTCAATCTGCTGCTGGATGAGTGACCATCAGCCGAGGTTAAAACGCAACTTCAAATACAGCGGCAGACATCGTCAGGGTCGGGATGGAACCCACGTCCTCCCGTAGACCAGGTGAGGTAGTCAACATCTGCGCCCTAGTAACATTGACCAGGAGGGATGACAGAGGAGGGAAGGAGGAGGGGAGGGAAAGAGTGAGCCAGTGAGTGAGTGAGTGAGCGAGTGAGTGAGTGGGTGAGAGGGTGAGTGAGTGATTGGGTGAGTGAGTTAGCCAGTGAGTGAGTGAGCGAGTGAGTGAGGGAGAGGGTGAGTTAGTGGGTGAGAGAGTGAGTGATTGAGTGGGTGAGTGAGTGAGCCAGTGAGTGAATGAGCCAGTGAGTGAGCGAGCGAGTGAGTGAGCGAGTAAGTGAGTGAGCGAGTGAGTGAGTGGGTGAGCGAGCGAGTGAGTGAGGGAGAGAGTGAGTTAGTGAGTCTATGAGAGTGAGTGAGCGAGTTAGTGAGTGACTGACTGACTGAGTGACTGAGCGAGTGAGCGAGTTAGTGAGTGAGTGACTGACTGACTGAGTGAGTGAGTGAGCGAGTGAGCGAGTTCGTGAGTGAGCGAGTAAGTGACTGAGTGAGTGGGTGGGTGAGTGAGGGAGTGACTGAGTAACTGACTGAGTGAGCGAGTGAGTTAGTGAGTGAGTGAGCGAGCGAGTGAGAAAGAGAGTGGGAGAGTGAGAGAGAGTTAGTGAGTGGGTGAGTGTGTGAGAGGGCGAGTTAGTGAGAGAGTTAGTGAGTGAGTGAGTGAGCGAGTGAGTGAGCGAGTTTGTGAGTGAGGGAGTGAGTGAGTGTGTTACTGACTGAGTGAGTGAGTGAGAGAAAAAGTGAGTGAGTGACTGAATGAGTAAGTGCGTGAGTGGGAGAGTGAGTGAGCCAGTGAGTGCGTCAGTGAGTGAGTCAGTGAGTGAGTGGGTGAGGGAGTGAGCGAGTTAATGAGTGAGTTACTGAGTAAGTGACTGAGTGAGTGGGTGGGTGGGTGAGTGAAGGAGTGACTGAGTGAGTAACTGATTGAGTGAGCGAGTGAGTGAGTGAGCGAGCGAGTGACTGAGTGAATGAGAGCGCTAGTGAGTGAGTGACTGAGTGAGTGGGTGAGCGAGCGAGCGAGTGAGCGAGTTGGTGAGTGAGCGAGCGAGTGAGTGAGAAAAAGAGAGTGGGAGAGTGAGTGAGAGAGTTAGAGAGAGAGAGTTAGTGGGTGAGTGTGTGAGAGGGCGAGTTAGTGAGAGAGTTAGTGACTAACTGAGTGAGTGAGCGAGAGAGAGAGTGACTGAGTGAGTGAGCGAGTTAGTGAGTGAGAGAGTTAGTGAGTGAGAGAGTTAGTGAGTGAGTGAGTGAGTGAGTCACTTAATGAGTGAGTCACTGAGTGAGTGAGCGAGCAAGAGAGAGTGAGCGAGTTAGTGAGTGAGCGACTGAGTGAGTGAGAAAGAGAGAGTGAGTGAGAGAGAGTGAGTGAGTGAGTGAGTGAGTTAGTGAGTGAGTGGGTGAGGGAGTGAGCGAGTGAGTTAGTGAGTGAGTGAGCGAGCGAGCGAGCGAGTGATTGAGTGAATGAGAGCACTATTGAGTGAGTGAGTGGCTGAGTGAGTAAGTGAGCGAGTGAGCGAGTGAGCGAGTTAGTGAGTGTGCGACTGAGTGAGTGAGAAAGAGAGAGTGAGTGAGTGACTGAGTGAGTGAGTCTGTGAGAGTGAGCGAGTTAGTGAGTGAGTGAGTGAGTGACTGACTGAGTGAGTGAGTGACTGATTGACTGAGTGACTGAGTGAGTGACTGAGTGAGTGACTGAGTGAGTGTGTAAGTGACTGAGTGAGTGAGTGAGTGGCTGAGTGAGTGACTGAGTGACTGAGTGAGTGACTGAGTGTGTGTGTGAGTGACTGAATGAGTGACTAAGTGAGTGACTGTGTGAGTGTGTGAGTGACTGAATGAGTGACTGAGTGAGTGACTGAATGAGTGACTGAGTGAGTGAGTGAGTGAGTGACTGACTGAGTGACTGAGTGTGTGAGTGACTGAATGAGTGACTGAGTGAGTGAGTGACTGAGTGAGTGACTGAGTGACTGAGTGAGACGTCGACCGGGTGCTTGAGCCAGGCCTCCCGGATCGCTGGGCGGCCATTGCCGTCCACCACGAAGTGCCGGAGCTCATCCAGCGTGGGGCGCTCACCCACCTCGTCCACCAAGGGAGCGCGGTGCTCACCCAGCATGCCTGGCACACACACACACACACAGACATACACACACACAGACACATACACACACACACAGACACACACACAGACACACACACACACAGACACACACACACACACACACAGACACACAGACACACACACACACAGACACACATGCTCACCCAGCATGCCTGGCACACACACACACACACAGACACACACAGACACACACACAGACACACACACACACAGACACACACACACAGACACACAGACACACACACAGAAACACACACACACAGAAACACACACACAGACAACAACAACCGCCGTTCGCCACAAAGTGGCGGTGATGTCACCACGACGCTTGTGCCAGGCCATGTGCACCTTGAGGCGACGTGAATTGTCGAACGCCCGCTGGCAGGAGGTCAAGGAGGCAGATCCAGGTGCCACGGGTCGACTGACTGAGATGATTGAGATGAGTGGCTGATGCACCACCTGTGCCCCCTACTGTGCCAACTCGTTGTGCTTTAGCCACCCGGCGCTCCGCTCGTTGTTGTGAGCGTCGCCCCTCCGCCCTCCGTTGTTGTTGGAGGGCGACTGCCTCCAACTGCCCAGTAGCGTCCTTCACGAGCCTCCTCCACAGAGGCCGATCTTGACACCGCTGGTACCAGGCATCAGCAAGTCCACTCAGCTCCACGTCCTCCTGTACCACATCACTCCATCTCTTCTCTAGCCCGTGCCGCACCCGTTTAGCCCCCTCGATCCGGCCGAACAAAGGCTGTTTAGGCATGCGGTGGCTGGGCATGCGGGCTACATGACCCAGCCAACGCAGCCTTGCCTGCCGGAGGAGCTCACCGATGGGACTTTGCCCAGATCTTTCAAGGATTTGTGAGCTCCTCACACATTCCAGCCTGGTTAAACCCAGGATGGATCGTAGGCAGGCCAGCCTAAATGTTTCTAACCGGTGAAGATGCTCCATTAGGGGGTCCACGTTTCGCAAGCGTAGAGAAGGGAGGGAATGACCGTGGCTGAGAAGACCTGAAGCTTCGTGCGGAGCGACAGACCAGGTAGCTTCCACACAGCGTTACGCAACCGATGAAAAGATATTGCTGCTCGATTGATTCGGAGTGAGACCTCTGCTGTTAAACCGGAACCGGTCATGAGCACACTGCCCAGGTATGGGAAACTCTCCATTCTCTCCACAACTGATTGGGAGTTATGGGGGTGGAGTGTCTGATGGTACAAAATACCCAGGCAAGTGCTTAGTTTTAGTGGCACGCTCCAGTTTCAGCAGCAGCGTCTCCACCTCCTCCTCCGAGTGAGCAGTAATTAGCAGATCATCGGCATACATAACGTGGTTGAGCAATAGAAAGCCATCCCTTGACCGCACCCGGGCATTGATCAGCCTCTCATTATATCTGTACCAAATGGAAATTCCTCCGGTACAGCTATTGAAGGCTTCACGAATGATGTGGTCAAAATAGATGTTAAATAATGTGGGAGCCAGAAGACATCCCTGTCACACCCCAAGGTGTACAGGGAATGGTTTTGACTCCCGGCCACGTAGTTTTACCCGGGCCCACTCACCATCATGAAGGTCCTTAATGAGGGTGAGCAGAGGGTCAGGGACTCCGAAAGCACGAAGAACAACCCAGAGCCCAGGCCTACTGATGGTATCATAGGCCTTGACCAGGTCAATAAAGCAGAGATGTAGGTCTTGTTGGAATTCCCTACACATCTGCTGTAGCAGACAGAAGGAAAATATGGTATCTGTGCAGGACCGCCTTTTCCTGAAACTGCATTGGGAGATGCCCCTGTAGTTGTTACAGTCTGTGCGGTCCCCCTTCTTAAAGAGGGGGACCACCAGGGCATCCTTCCAATCCTGCGGAACCCGTCCAGTGGTCCAGACTGTTGTTATGATGTCATATAGGGCAGTCTGTGCACAAACGCCACCCTCCCTCAGCATTTCGCTTGGGAGATCATCTCTGCCTGGTGCCTTTCCTGGTCTCAGACTCTGGATCGCATTCAGTACTTCCTCAACAGATGGCACCTCAGCCAGCCACTCACAGGGGGTGACTTCTTCTTCCAATATTTGAGGCACCGCAGCCTCAGCATGGTCATCCCCAATTTGTGCCACGATGTTTTCCATGTTGAGGGATTTCCCCTCCACCAGGACCTCACAGAAATGCTCAGCAAATCTGCAAACCTGTTTCTGGGGGTCGGAGATTGGATCACCGTTCTTTCCCCTAGTGATGGTAATAGGTGTGGCGCTGCAGGTTACTTTTTTGATGGAGTTAAATAGTGATTTGTGATCGCGGGCCACTGAGGCAGACTCCATCTCCTCAGCAACCCGCAACCACCACCCATCCTTGCAGCGCCTCACGGCTCTCCGAACTTCCGAGCGAAGGCTGCGGTAAGCCTCCTCATTCTCTGACGTGGGATGCTGTAGGCGATGAGAGTGGGCCTGTCACTTTTTCTCAACTATCCTGAGCACCTCCTCTGTCAGCCAGGGTTTCTGGGGAGGTCTGGACCGTGTACCCAAAGCAGCCATTGCAGCTGCATGAGTCACAGTCTTAAACCTCGCCCATTTACCCTCGACATCAGGTGGAGTGGGGGACGATGCCAACCCCAGCTGCAAGTGATGATGAAATTCTCGCTTGCAACTTTCATCAGCTAGCTGAGACCAGGCCACCTTAGGCTGGAATGGGGTCCTGGGTGTCCACCCACCACCGGAATGGAAGAATGGCAGGCGCATCTTACAGATGACTAGTCGATGGTCAGAGGGCATATCAGCTCCACGGTAGGTCCTGGTGTCAAGGACATGGGCCCGCATCCGCTGATCCATCACTATGTAGCCCAGCAGATGTTCTTGCTTGGATCCGGCATGCATCCATGATGCATTTTGAAAGTTGGACGGTCGAGAACTTTCATCAGCTAACTGAGACCACAGACACACGCACAGACTAGACACACACACAGACACACGCACAGACACACGCCCAGACACACGCACAGACCAGACACACACACAGACACACGCACAGACACACGCCCAGACCAGACACACGCACAGACACATGCACAGACACACGCACAGACACACGCACAGACCAGACACACGCACAGACACACGCACAGACCAGACGCACAGACACACGCACAGACACACGCAGACACACGCACAGACCAGACACACAGACACACGCACAGACCAGACACACGCACAGACACACGCACAGACACACGCACAGACACACGCACAGACACACGCACAGACCAGACACACGCACAGACACACGCACAGTGACACGCACAGACACACGCACAGACACACGCACAGACACACGCACAGACCAGACACACGCACAGACACACGCACAGTAACACGTACAGACACACGCACAGACACACGCACACACACACGCACAGACACACGCACAGACACACGCACAGACCAGACACACACACAGACACACGCACAGACCAGACACACACACAGACACACGCACAGACACACAGACACACACACAGACACACGCACAGACCAGACACACGCACAGACACACGCACACAGTAACACGTACAGACACACGCACAGACACACGCACACACGCACACGCACAGACACACGCACACACACACACGCACAGACACACGCACAGACACACACACACGCACAGACACACACACACACAGACACACAGACCAGACACACACACACACGCACACAGTAACACGTACAGACACACGCACAGACACACGCACACACGCACAGACACACGCACAGACACACGCACAGACACACAGACACAGACACACAGACCAGACACACACACAGAAAGACCCCCCCACCCACATCACGTGGGGCGGCACCGTGTGACAAGAGGTGACCAGGACCGGCCAGCACCACGCCCCTGGGGCCGACGCCGCCACCTCCGCTCACCGCCACTGGACGTGCAGCGCGTAGCGATCTCCCACAGCACCAGGCCCAGCGCGTAGACGTCGATGTGAAGGAAGGCGTCGGACTGCAAGCAGATGGCGCCCTCCAGCAGCTCGGGGGCCATGTAGCGGAGAGTGCCGACCTGCGGCGGGGTGCAACGGCGGCGGCGTCACGCTCGGCACGATGCTCTCCAGCTGATCGTTGGTTTTTAAATCCTTTATATTAAGTTCGCTTGCTTGCGTGCTTGCTTGCGCGCTTACGACCGTGCAAACCTTTCGGTCGTTTTTTAACCCACTTCGCGTGATCCAATCGAGCTGACATTTTGCACACAGACTCGTTGTGCGAGACAATTAATGTTCGTGAAAATTTTTTTCCAAAATTTTACACTGTTTAGGGAAAACAAATAAAAAATTTAATTACCAATTGTTTAATACTGCAGACAATCATCTGACCCATAGGTGGCAGCCATCTCAAGCCAGAGGACGAGAGGACTCTAGCCGCCACGCATATAAAGGATTTATAGTGAAAAACTTTGTTTTTACGGGTTATATTTACCCTTCTATCTGGCGATGAAACTGACACCATAGACCACAATACCTGCGGTCATAATGCAAAAAAAACCACAACTCTGATAATGTATGCACTGTCCTTGAAGTTGATTGGTCCACACCCGAGACAGCTTTCCTTAGAGCCTAGTCTCACATGGTGTTGGACCAGATGACGCCAAAAGGTGCACAACTCAAAGACAATGCACCATCAGAGTATGAGAGCTCGGGGTAAGCATTTACACCATTGGAACCTCATTTGCCAGTAAAAAATATAATTGTTTTTTTCACCCTTCTGTCTGGCAACAAAACTAACACCTTTTTTTAAGAGGAGTCATGTTTGCATAGACCGCAATACCTGCAGTCATAATGCAAACAAAAAACACAACTCTGATGATGATATGCACTGTCCTTGAAGTTTATTGGTCCACACCCGAGACAGCTTTCCAGAGAGCCTAGTCTTGTTGCACAGATAAAAGGGTAAAAAAAAAACAACTATCAAATTTTTTTTTCTGGCAAACGAGGTTCTATCGGCACCCTCCCGCCTCTTGGCGTCTCCGCCTCTTGGCCCCGGCGTCGGTGTTTACCCGCGGGATGTCGACGGGCGGGCAATCCGGCTGGAGTTTGAGCGCCAGGCCAAAGTCGGCGACGACGGCCGACAGGTCGCTCCTCAGCAGCACGTTCTTACTCTTCAAGTCGCTGCGGGAGAGTCGGGGGGGGGGGGGGCGGGGGGGGCACGGTGACGCGTTCAAGCGGTCGAAGGGTGAGAGGGGGCTGCGTGAGGCGCAAGCGGAGTCCAGAGGTCGCAAACGGGTTTTGATTCCTTACCCGTAACCGTAACCGGCCGCACCAAGGTCGCAAATGTGTACCCGTACCCACGGGTAGGCCGTGAGTCACTGGTGAGTAACCGTTTGTCACTCATTTCGGGTAGGGTACGGGTAGGGAACGGCTACCCGTACCCGGCCGGGTACGGGTAGCCGTTCCCTACCCGTACCCTACCCGGCCACACTAGGGTCGCAAATGGGTACCCATTCCCTACCCGTACCCTACCCGAAATGAGTGACAAACAGTTACTCACCAGTGACTCACGGCCTACCCGTACCCGGCCGCACCAGGGTCGCAAACGGCTACCCGTACCCGGCTGGGTACGGGTAGCCGGGTATCGGGTAGGGTACGGGTATGGGGTAGGGTACGGGTATCGGGTAGGGTACGGGTATCGGGTAGGGTACGGGTATCGGGTAGGGTACGGGTATCGGGTAGGGTGCGGGTATCGGGTACCCGGTTGCGACCTCTGGCGGAGTCCGAACCCGAGGTCGGCAGGGGCCCCCCACCCACTCCGCCACCCGCACCGCCGCCACCCCCGGTGATCCGTGGGCGGCCTGCTAGCGACGTACCGGTGGGCGATGGCCGGCTTGCCTCCGTGCACGTGACGGTGGAGGTGGGCGAGGCCGCGTGCCAACGTCTCGCCCACGTGGCAGAGCTCGTGCCACGACAGCGTGGAGCGCTTGAGGTGGTCGCACAGCGAGCC